GGCGTGTCTGGTGCAAAACTTATGTGAGGTTAGTTACTTGCAAAGCATGCCAGTGTGCGGGCAAAAGCAAAAACAAAAAAAAATGTCTAAAGATATGCTTAAACTATTCAACGAGTTGATCTAAGTATTTAACGAGTAACTTTTAACAATGTATGTCCTGTACTGAAAGCGCCCGACTGCGTTTTGAAGCGCTCATTTAGTTTCTTCGAAAAATGCGAAAAACAATAGGAAATTGCTTTACTTTACTACACTCCTCGCTGCTGCTTTAACTTCCTGCCATGTACATATATATATATTTGTTTAAAAGCTTGTTTGTACTTCGCAACCGCAGCGCTACTAGTGCCGCACTGCAGAAAATGCCGCAGGCAGTGCTGCCTTTTTCGTGCCATGCGCCGGCAACCGCAAAATGGCTTCGCTGATTAAGCAGAAAAGGTGAAAGCTAACGATAAAAAGCGTGCAAAAGAGCAGAAAGGTGGTTGTATAATATATTGCTGAAAAAAAAAATCAGTCCACTTAACAAAACCTGCAATTTGGAAATTAAAGCGCCTTATTATTCTTAATCATCTATAAAGTTCTCTCTGCTTTCTTAAAGCCAAACCAAATCAAACTTTCTAAAGAAGACATAAATGCATTTTACTTTTTAAATTTTTAAATGAAATTCTCCACTAAAATTTCCAATTTTGACTACATTGAAAATCTAAACTCCCCAGAAATCTTTATTTAACTTTTAACAAATACAATTTTCGGCGGATAAAATGTAAAAATGGGACTAATAAAAATAGAATAGTAACTTTGTTTCAATTTAGTTATTCGTATGCGCTGAGTCCCTGGTGTATTATAAATATGCAAATATATACATACGTATATAGCTACATTTTAGCCACAAAAAACGCGAATCGTCATGACACGCACTTTGTTGCATGAAACAAATAAATATATGTAGTATATATACAGTCATGTGAAAAATAATAATTTTGGCTTTTCTCCTTATGCTTGTTTAATGTTTATTATTTTTTTTTTATAAAAAATCAGCTCATTATCTAACAAAAACCATACATATATGTAAGTCCTAATTTCAAACTTTATATAAAAATTAGAAAAATTCTACATCAAACTTTTTATTAGGCAAGGAAAATTTTTTTGCGGATGAAGTTATTATTCTTCTGCACAAAAAAAAATTCAAAAATCTACGCGAATTGTTAGCTGCGTATTTTCTTAAGCTGGAATTTAATAATATATACGCAATTAAAGAGAGTGTCGGTATGTGACAAAAGTGGAAATTGTTTGATTGGGAATGATGGCTCTTTTCATGAAACATTTTTTCAATATTATTTGGAGGAATTCTAGATATTTTTGGAGTTTTTAAATCAATGCAACTTATTTCAATTTTCCTTTACGTGACATAAATTTCGATTGATATATTTTTGTTAAAATTGCTTTTAAATAAATTTTAAACGCAATTAAATTGTAAATTTTAGGTCGAAAATTTTTTGGAAACCTATGATTTATTATGTTTCAAGTTGAAACTTTCAACTACATACTCCAAATTCGAACCAATTCGGATCATAAACGGTTTTTAAAGATATATTGACCCTAGCGCCAGCCAGCAGGACCATTTTTCGCAAAAATGTTTCCGCTTACATCACCAGTATATATTTTAATAATCATATAATATCTTCGGATAGAAACACCCATATATAGTTTTGTTAGATAATCAGCTGTATTTTTATAAAAAAAAGGTAATAAACATCACAACAAACAAACGCAAAAAAGGCAAAACTGTCAAAATATCGTATCCCTGTTATTTTCCACGTGACTATATGTATGTATGTCAAATTTCGCTAACCATGACATACATACATACATATAATTATTCCCTAGTCTGTTCCGGCTGTGTAATCTAACATTTGCTTTTAAAAATGCCATTGCAATGACATCATAAATAAAATTTAGCTAATATTTTAGTTGAAATGAGCAATTCATTTTTCCAGAGGTTAACAAGGTTTAAGAAAGGGTTGAAGTTGTAAAATTTTTTGGGGGGGGGACGGTCTATGGAAAATGCCAGCGAGGAGCAAGCCAGTTTTTTGAGTTTTGTTTCAAAGGGCAGCGAAAAATTCAATAAAAAATAAATGACTCGGTTTTCTCTGCCTTTCCAAGCTAAGACGTTTTTACTAAAACCAAAAATAGCTGCATAAGTGTTAAACATATCAAATTACTTATTAACACTTGCTTTCCTTTTCACTAAATTTCAAACATTTGCAATAGGCACCGATCGGTAGAACTGAGGGTTTGGGGTGGATGCTGGTTGCGTGATATTTAGCGCATACTCAAATGTGAAAAAGTACCTACTATAAGCGATAGAACTTCAACACACATGGAACTAGAATGAACTTATGTATTTATGTAAAACTGCGTTGTATGCAATTAGATAAATGTATTTGTTTTGCTCTACTTCATCAACGCCAGCAATTTTTCTTTCCATTGTTATCTAATGTTGTTCTTAGTACTCTCCGATGTATTAGTTAATAGCCCCAAAACCCCATTTAACCATACTTATGTATATACATGTGTGCATGCAGTTCTTTGTTATTATGTACCCCAAAGGAAAATCTATATCGCGTACTAGAGATATTTCTTCACTGCGAAAAGCTCATTTAAAGAGAAGTTTTTTGTTAGCTCAGTTGTTTGGTCTAAGTAAACGAATATTAAATGCAAAATTTCATACAAAACGGACTCGATTTTGAGATAAACGCATAGGTCTTTAACCTCATACAAGAATTTATGAAAAACTTTGTGACTATTTTTTGAAAACTTACAAAGTATTTAATTAGTGATTTATATATTATGTATGTATGTGTGATGTGAAATGTGATTTTTTTTTGTAATTTTTTCTTCTTGAGACTGTGCCATCAGAGAAAGAGCTGAGAGTTTAAATGCATCTTAATTGTTAAGAAATTCCTGCATGGTATGATTACATACACAGACTTACGCGCCAGCACATGCAAAAAATAAGTAAAAAATTGTGTACGTATGTATGTATACACCTCTACTGTATACCGTTAGAACAGTACTTCTTACAAAGGCAACAACTCAGTAGGGCACACAGCGCGTGTCGACTGTCGTTTCTTGTGTAGCACAAATCAAAATTTGTGCTGCATAAAAACCAACCAATTCTTTGAACCAACATGTTTGCGATGGCTCGAGTGGTTGCGTTATTGTCTTGTTCGATTAAACGGTTGCCTGCTGTAGTGAAGCTCATTGTCTATGCGCCTGCTGCTATGCTACACAAAACAAAAGATAGATAAATTTATACACATACATATGTACGTACATAAGCCGGCTTTCTAGCGAAACGCGGGGGTGTGTGCGTGTACATACAAAGCAATAAACGAAGATGGCTTGAAGTTGGCGGACGTCCGACGTCGACGCAGAACGCCGACAGGCAACCACCCTCATTCGCCGTGCCGGCACATCAAATCATTCATCCGCTTCGGAGTCGTTGGGCACCCAAGACTACCAAAAAAAAAGCGTACAAGCAAAATAGTAGTATTTATAGCATAAAGAAATTGTTTTCTGATACAGCTTACTTGTAAAGCTCTATTGTAATACTTAGTAAAAACTACAACATCAATGAGGGGCTTAACGCGCAGGCATACACACACCCACACCCACACCGACAAATGCATACATTAATACGTGTAATTTTGATGTACACACGAGTGGTTCTGCTCTGGTACTGTTATGTCGAAATATTAATAAACATTTTCATTACGCTATAATTTTTGCTGCTTTGCGTTTACAATATGCACGCTATGTACAATAAATATGTACGTACATAAATAGAATTATGCTTACGTGGTGGAGGTATGACGGCGCATTTGGCTCTGTATGCGTATTGGTTAAGTAAAATGCTTATATATACACATATGTACAGTGACTCAAACAAATGACCACGTAATGTTTTTTTTTTTTTAATATTCGTAATATTTTTCCAGCTAAATTTTTTGTGTTATTTTTATATAAATATATCGTCTAAGCTTTAACCAAAACCGTGTAAATCACACTTTCAACTTTATACAAAATTTCAACTTTTTGTTCTGAGTTTTTAGAAAGTTTTTGGGTATGCAGTTTTATAGCCCATACAATTTTAGTCTAATGAAGTTCAAGTTTCAAACGGCTAAAAATTCGCGTTGATTTTTGAGATTTTTTTTTTTAGGTTACTTTTACGGGTTTTTTAATATAACGAAAACTTGCGTTGATATTTGGAAATTTTCATTATACTAAAATTGTGTGGGCTATAAAACTGCATACCCAAAAATTTTCTAAAAATTCAGAATAAAAAGTTGAAATTTTGATGAAAATTTGTTTTGAATTTTTACACGGTTTTGGTCAAAGCTTAGACGATATTTTTATATAAAAATAACACAAAAAATTTAGCTCGAAGAACATTACGAATATTTGAAGAAAATCAACACGTGGTCATTTGTTTGAGTCACTGTATTTTTGTATTTGTATACACATAATGCCGAAGCATTATGTTTGCCTAGAAGAAGCGACATTTTGCCTTTGCTCTTTTTCTAGTTTATTATTTTTGTACCTTTTTCAGCTGTTAACCCTAAAAGTTTTGCCTTTTTTCTTCATTCGCGCGCACACACCACCGCACATAGTTGTTTTCTTTGTTATTCTTTACTTATATTTTTAGGTTAGCATGCCAACCGGCAACTCATTACTACAAAGCTTGCGTGCTTCCTCCCCGCCTCCCGCGCCCACTGTGCCAAAGAGTGTTGGCCGCTCAAGTCACGACTGAAATATGTATGTATGTAGGTACATAGCTTACATACTGAGAAAGCTTGATGTGTAGGCATTTTCCTTGCCTTTTTGCGATGTCTCGCTGTTTATTTTATTTTTGTTTTGGAAATCCTGCAGCAATGCACCACAGAGAAATTCCTACTAGGAGTCGTTGATGCTTTATGTAGTTGTATAAATAAATGTACATATACCTGGAGAGGGCGTAGTAGAAATGAAAAAGGCCATGAGGCCGTGAAGTGAGGGAAAAACTACAAAAATTTCAAGAATCCTTTACAAATTGATGAAAGCAAAACTTGACGCAATAGCTAAAATTCAATTTCGCTCATTATATAAGATTTCTTTGGACACTTTTATTAAAAAAAGATTTTAAGATAAAGTTTAAAAGCCTTATTAAAATCATTCGATTAAATTTTAGTCAATCGAGTTTTTCAACTGCTGCGGCTTTTTTTTTATTAATTATTTTCGCGTTGAATGCAGAGTACGCTGCGAATGTAATTTAAACCAAATGCATTTTTCATTTTGATATTTTCTTTTTATAAATTTTAAATTTAAGCTGTATGTTTATATGTACATACATTTTATATAGATACTTTAAACACACATCCATTTAAGTTTATTTTCTATTGATCAGCATACTGCACACTTTCAAGCGAAGATTTTCCTCAGCATTTTCTTTTCATTTTTCATTTAATGCTTTGCACTTTAAAATCTTACACCGCAATTTTGTTTTACTTTTGAATTAAATTTTTATGTTTCCCATAAAACTTTTCCGCTTTCCTTTGTCACTTAAATCATTAAAAAATGACGGTATTCTTGGAAGACCACTCACTGTCCGCTAAACGCTTTATTCAACCGGTCACATTTCAGACGTCTAGACATGCAACCGCCGGATTAGAAATACTCAGCGCTGCTCGTTTGTGGGCACTTTATTTGGTGTATACGCCACAGTGACTGACTGCAACATGTTGGGTGTTGCGTGTTGGCGCTGCAGGCCCAAAACAAAACACCGGAAGCAGCAGTGCCGCCATACAAAACGCGCATTGGCAAGTGTCAGCGTGCACTGAATGCACTCAGGCGCTGCGGTCAGACCATGCAATTTCCGCGAACGACGATGGTTGGTGGCAGAGGGCGCTACAAAGGCTCAAACTTTTGTGAATGTAGCATTTTTATTTGTCACAGTTCTAGTTTTATTTTTAAACACTCTTAACACACTGACTTATCGACCTTTTTTAATCGAAATCGTACTGATTTTTCCTGCTTGCGACCATTTACTTATACACTCACCCAACAGCGATGTGACTGCAATGCACCATTGATCCACCCGTTCAGCCGACACAGTGTCATTGACTGAGTCGACAAAAACCAATCGTGCGAATGCTTCTACATGTACATACGTATGCCACCCACGCCTTTACTTACTTTGAAGTAGATTTTTGCCTCTCTTTTGCCCCGACTTTAGCGCTGAACAGACAATTGCAATCAATATCCTGCCTGATATCCTGCCGTGCGTGGCCGTTGGCGTGCTGTGCTCTGACAGCATCTCTAGTTGAGGAAACTGCATTGCAGTCACCTTCTCCGCTCCCCTGCTGGCTCGATATGGGTTAAGTGTGCTGCAATGCTGATTTTTCATTTTGCGACAACGCTGGTGAGACGTGGTTTAGTACAAATTCATCGAAAAGAAATAAACGTTATGGGATGTTAGTTGCGAGTCAATGAGTTCTTGTATGTGTATGTTTGTTTGTACATATATACGTGGGTTACTTAACTTCTAATAGTAAATCAGCTGATATATGTATGTATGTACATAAGTATGTATGCATTATTTATCGTGAATTAGCACATATTAATCAGATCCAATTCGATTTTATTGATTTGCTGATATAGTAAACGTATTAACATGTATCATATATTATTATAAACCGTATGGCTGAAGTACTTTATTTCGAATTTCACAAATTATGATCATCATGTTATCAATTTCGATTCCTGTAACACTGTGATGAAATTTCGAAAGCTTAAGCTTACCTATAAATTTGGCCTTATCGAGGAGAGTAGTTCTTTCATGCTGCACCATAATTTACCACCACTGCCGCAACACTTTGTTGGCAGAATGTTGCAAATTACTTTAAGGCACTTGCTGTGCCGTAGAAAATTTGCATTTCATTTAGTCTGCTGTAAAAACTTTAATTACGAATCAGAATCAATTGACAAAGTCATTTAAGAGCGCAGCAGGTGACTCATCGAATTAACGCACGGCGCGTCTGCAGCGTTTCGCCTTCCACCACCCCTATTGACGCATTTAGCTCCTTTGGCTTTGTTTATATATTTACACCTCACAGTATTCTAATTTTTCCGCAATTTCATTTCGCCGCATTGTGACTTTTCTTCCTGATAAACGGGCGTGATTAATGCGCTTCAAGTGCATAGCATTTCCAAAGGAGTACTTCTCCTTAGTAGGCTTGCTCACCTCAACGCAACTGCACGATTTTCCGTCCATTCTTATCACATTTATTTTTTTTTCATTTTTCAACTCCATAGCAAGGCCTACGACCGATGGTGGTGCCAAGGCTTTACACTACTGTCCGCTCCTCCCCTGCGACAGGCACTTCAAACAGAAAAAGGAAGTGCACAACACAGCGCCGACTGAGTGTGTCCTCTGCATGAATGAGTTGAATGAATTACGGCATGTTGCTGCTGAGACTATGTGTGTGTTCGTATGTATGCATGCATGTGTGCTTGTTAACTTTTTAAAGGCAGCACAACAACTCAACTCAAATTGTGTGCAAACTTCGAGGAAGTGCCGCCTTTGAGCAAATGGCACACTGCATACAAGTTGGTAAATGATGAGTTAAAGAGTTGAAAATGCAATTCAATGCTTCTTACTTCGGAATTTTAGCAGCATTTTTTTATCTTTTGCTAACTGTTACTATAATTGCTCTTTTCTAAATTAGTTTTTTTTTTTTATTCTTTACATGCGGATATGTTTACATATCGATAGACGTCTTTACATTGATAACTATTTCTTTAATCGATTTCCAGTGTTTTCAAACTCTGGCAAATTTTATCCGGCTCTCGGTTTGCTTCTGTCATTGTTGCAGCTTTTAGTTTCTTGCTTTTGTCGATCTTCCACGCATCGGGGTTCATCAAGTAATCTCTGAAAAGTGTTTCTTCATTTTAGCAACTGAAATTTGGTGCCTAATCATACATTTCGAACTCAAGTGGTCTTTGGGTCAAAGATTGTGAGGAGGCTGGCAAACCGAAGCTTCGCAATGTGGCTTTCGGTAGCCAATTGCACGCAGTTTTCACTGCACTCGAATAAATATGTGACTGAGCTTCGAAATACATGATGTGGCCATACATTTTCCTTTGACAATTACCTCTTCTCTATCAGCAATTTAACCCATTTTTCTTTCAAGTCAGCCATTTTTCCCGCTGCTCCGCCATATTCCTCCGGTAGCATTTCACGCGGGAAGTAATTGTAGGGTGTATCGGCATTGGGTAGATGAAAATTGATCTACGTGGTGAAAAGGCATTTTTTAATTCAAACATTATTTAGCAAGCTCTCTACTACCTCTCCCCGGCCACTTACCAATTTAAAAACCTCACTTTTAATGAACGGCTTCACCACAGTCAGCACCTTGTCCAGATAGGAGGGGCAGTTGAGCACGTGTATGGCCTTCAAGCGCACCGGATGTGCCTCTTGCACGAACTTCATATAAACGCGAAGCGAACTGAAGACCGTGCGCGCCACATGCCGTAAGCTGTAGCCAGCCATGTCGAAAATGGGTACCTCACCGTCGCACATGCCTGCCTCATCGGGTACGACAAAGCGCAGATCCGCCATCATAAAGAACACTTTGATACTGGCCGTAAAATTGAACTAAAATTCAAATATTTAATACGATTTTTTGGAATATTTGCTATACATATATTTAATAGTAATAGCAACGATAAAAACAACAAGTATCACACCTTATCGGCCTCATAGTCGGTTAGTCGGTAGAAGAGCAGCTTATTTTTGTCCGGTGTCAACCCAGGCAACGGCACTAGATCGCTGGAAAAGTAGTTTTTATAAGAAAAATAAAAATAAAAGTCGTAATATTTAAGCCGTTATGCATAAAATTGTCAAAACTCAAATGTAAAAGTGTATTAAAAAAAAAATCAGTTGCACACAGATTTTTCGCAATAACTGGTTTGGCCACCTTAACATCGTCGACCGTCCACTGACGGTGCAAAACTATCGATGGCATTATCGATAGTATCGATGTTTTTTATTTTTCGCTACCATCGATTGTTTTTTGGTCTATCGATAATCCGACAGACATGTTTATTTATTCTTTTCTTTTCGTTTCTCATAAACATCCAAGTTGAACTAAAAATTTGGTTGCTACTTTTTTAAGAGAGTAATGAAAAATTTCGAAAAGTACGGAAAACCTTGCATCTTTATATCGCTTACTCCAGTAAAAAAACTGATACAACTTAACTTATAGGAAAACTTTAATATTATCTACTCACCACTATTTACTATTTAATAGAAGGTAAATAAAAACCATTACTTTTCAGATAAAAAGAAATGACTTCGTGTTCGAAAATTTCAATCTACATCCTGAATGCCTTATATATGACTTAGGATATCTAAAACCACAAATGTAAAATTTCAGCACGCCCATTTTTTCAATTTCAATTAATTTCAAATTTTCAATAACTTTACTTCTAACTTAACAAATAAACAATTAAAAAAACGTGTCCAGTAGTTTACAAGAGTATCCAAACGCCTTTCCGAATATATTTTTAAGCAAATCTTCATACTAAAATTGAGCGAAAAGAATATAAATACGCTACTAATCGACGATATATCGATAGTTTTGAAAATAATATCGAATGCTATCGATAGTCTGACTATCGATAGTTTTGCACCTCTACCGTTCACCGTTATTACGCTACTCACGCTACTTGCAACAGCTGCTGTGACTCTTGATCGGTGGGATCGCGCTGCAGGAATATGTGCGGATACTTGTTGCGCAGCGCATAGTTGAGTTCGAACAGTCGCTTGGCGTTCTCCACGTCGCCAAACATCGAATAGAGGAAGCGCTCGAGTACCGGCTTCTCTGCAATTAAACAATAAATAGACGAACAGTCAGAGTGCTGGAGATATATATGTACATAGATAGAGAACTAGCTTGACTAGCTGGCAAAATAGCTAAGCTGCGAGTGTGTGCGTTACAAAAATTAAAATTAACTTTTCGCTAAATACTTTATTGAGCTTCTCGGCGTTTTCACGTGCTAAACGTGAGTCGCATACGCTGTAGATGGGCATATGGGCATTTCTAACGGTCGCGAACCGTACGTTCGTACGCTTTCGAAGTTCAAAAAACGGGAAACATAAATTTTTTTTAATTTTGTCATGTTTCGATAGCATTTTTTTAGGTGCATACATATATCTGTGGTGTAAAAGGCATGATCCTTCGATTTTAATTTTTCAATATGTTAGCAATAAACATGCAGTCACAAACGCACGAATAATGGAAGTCGCTTTTGGCTGCAAATTGGAAAATGCAAAAGAACTGCGAAAAGGGAACAAATATTCTAAAGCGATCAATTTTATATTAGAGTCGAATGAAGTAACTTCCTCCTAACTTTTTTCGCGTTGAAAAATATTTCTATTAGTTTTTTTTTTTCATAATTTTTTATACCTTTCATTAACATGAAATGGTATTATAAATTTTTTCTGATGTTTTTAAGTATCTGAAGAAGAAGATATAGACCGAAGTAAATGTTTGCCAAAATGATCAGAACGTCCAGCTGAGTCGATTTAGCCAAGTCCATCTGTCTGTCTGTTTGAACGAAATCTAGTTCGTCATTATATCTGATATATCTGACTGAAAGTTGGTAGGCAAGTGTATTTTAATAATGTATTAATCATTTGTCGGAACTGTCAAAATCGGACCACTATAGCTCCCATACAACTGATTGCTCTTCTTGGTTCTCGGTCCTGGTTGACTATTCTGTGGAAATGCTCATATACATATGTACATATGTACACATGTATGGAAATGTATATATGTATGCACATATATGTATATATACATATGTATATAAGTATAAACATATACACATATGTATGAGGTAATTGGGTTGAAAGTGCAATAAAACTAAATGCAACTCAATCTAAGTACTCACCTCTATGAAACCGGTTTCATTACTTTTGCATTGTTTTGAGTTATATTCATATATGTATGTGTGTGTGTGTGTGTAGGTACACTTTTTCGCTGCATTGTGCAATTTTGTCGTAAGTGACGCGCTGCTGATTCGCACCTTTGGAAATTTTTAACTTAGTACAACAACAAGCACTGAGCTTACCTTAGCTGAGGTGTGAGTATGTACATATGTACCTACATATAAGTATTTAACCGCATACTGGCACATAAGATTTGTAAAAGATGAATTAAGTAAAGAGTTGAGTTGCATGCAGCATTTGCTAAATTCGCATTCCCTATTTAAATTTTATATTTTTCGATTTTTAAATGATTATTGCTAGCATAAATTAATGATAATGGAATAAAGAATAATGTAGAATAAGCTCAAATTATATGCATAAACAAATATAAATCGTTCTAGCCACACATATGAATGTATATTAGGATGGTCCAAAAATGCATGTGAAAAAGTAAAGTTGGAATTTTAATACTCTCATCCCCTATGATTGTTCTATACCGATAAAAAATTGTTAATTTTTTCTTAGTAACTATACTTTATAGGTCCGTCAAAAACCTCTAAAATTGCGATGGGGGGACTTATACATAAAAAATCACGAGTATTAAAAAATCTCTTGTATCAAAACATCGTTAAATAAACAATAAGGTATTATTATTGGAAGCAGCGTTGCCAGGTTGACGTTTTTAACGTCATTTGGACGTTTTTTGTACACTGTTGACGTTTGGACGTTGCTTGTGTAAAAGATTACGTTTTTTAACTTCCCAGTAATTTTTCTCTGTTACTAAATCTTGTAAGTAGAAGTGATTATGAATTATTTTCTTAATAAATCTTTGCAAGCTTTGTTTTTTGCAGCAGCTGCTTCAAAAAATATTTATTCTTTGGACACAGATGACTTAACCCTTATTTAAGCGCATAAAGAAAATGACACGCATGGTGCCCCTTATTGAAAATGCAGTGAACGTAAAAAGGTTGAAATATTGATATGTTCCTTCTTACAGAACGTAAATTAGCATTTTCGACAACCGACCACCTAACCAAATGTCTACAAGAAAAAAAATATTAAAAATCAACGCGATTTTTTAGCGACTTAACACTTGCACATTATTGCCCTGGAATTTAATGGGCTATCAACCTGCATACTCAAAAAAATTCAAAAAAATCTGAATAAGAATTTGAAAACCTAGCTAAAATTTGCAGATTTTTTATAATTTTTGCACAAAGTTTGAAATGTGGATTTATATTTTGTTTGTTATATAATGAGCTAGGCTTTTATGGAAAAATAATAAACATTAAATAAACAAAAAAGAAACAGCCAAAATCGATGACTTAACCAGCTGGTCACAAGTGTATCTATAAAATTAATTTTATATTAATGATCTCGAACCAGTTTAGAATGAATTTTAAATGTGACAAATGACATTTTAATATACCTTACCTACATATGGACTTTCGTATACAATAAAAGTTTAATAAGCACAATTATTTGTGCATACATTTGAAAAAGACGTTTTTGGGAGGAAATGACGTTTTTTCAGACCAAGAAGGACGTTTTCTCATGCCGAAGACCTGGCAATACTGATCGGAAGTCTCCTGAAGAGAATTAGAGTTTTTCGATCGAAAAATTTTGATTTGCAAGAATTCTATACCATTTCTTCGGAGTGTTTTTTCCCCACATAAAAAACATGGAAAACTTTGAGCGCTTTGAGCAACCTCCAAATGTTTTTTGATTTAAAAATGAAAAAATATAAATTTTTTTTTTGTATAGAAAAATCCTAGTTTGTAAGAGTATTAAAATTCCGACTTTACTTTTATGCTGGACCAGCCTACTGTATGTATATAGATATACGAATGTAAATATATGTACGAGTATGTGCGCATGGCATTAAACACCCGCAATATAAGAAAATTTTGCTCATAAGATTATTGCTACTTTTTGAATCAAGTATTTTTGTATGTCTTATGCAGCTTTTTGTTTTGATTTTTTTACTTAAATTTAAATTTTTTGGGCATTTGAAATTCTAATATGGCGAATTCGGCATCAATTATTTCGGACAGGTTTAATATTTTGGAAAATAACTTTACCTTTCACAAATAGGTTTAATTTCACAAAATTTTTAATCTAATATTTGTAGCAAAACTCTTTGTGACATTTATTGAAGCGGATGACGAACATTGCACAAAAACTTGCTACTTGTCACTGGCAGTCGCGCCGTAAATGGCGCACGTACGACTTTGAAATTCCCTCAATCGAGATCGCAGCGAGCAAACGCGAACTGAAAGAAAAAAAAAACACCTACTTAGTATGCCAAACAGCAGAGCCGGACTATGTGCTGAATTAGTGAGTTAAACTGTGTAGTCATTTTTGTATGCAAACAATTAAAAATAAGAAGACTAGCTATTATGAAAAGTTTCCACACAAATCGCTTAAACATCGCACCAAAGGGCCTTCACACAGTAAATCGTAAATTATTCTAACAAATTACATGCATAAGTAGTTGCTGAGTATATTTAAATATGTGCACATATACTTATACTCATACATGCATACGTATGGATGGTGCTTATTCAAAGCTGAAAGAATAAGTTAAAAAATTGGCCCATCAGTTTTGTAAGGTTTTTGCCTAAAAGAACGCGATTTTGTAAAAAATTGCACAAGCTTTTACAAGTTATTTGCATAGCGAACAGAACTCATGTACCGTTGCGGTTATTAAGATAGTAGCAACGCATGAACAATATTTAACTGTATATAGAGCAAAATGCTGAACACCCTCTACAAAAAAAAATCTAAAAAATCAAATGTAAATTTTAGTGACTTGAGACTTGCACTTTACTGCATTAAAATTGAATAGGCTACTAAACTCCATACTCTAAAAATTGTGAAAAAAAATTTTTTAATTTTTATGAATTTTTTTTTTTTTTTTTTGATTTTTGTAAACTTTGTGCAATATTTGAAACTTTTATTCATGTTATTTCTGTGATTTGGGTTGACCGAACTATATTTTAAATGAAAATTATTAAAAATAAATAAATAAACATTTTGCCCTTTTGCTATCTAATTGACCGCAGCTGTATCTTTGAAAAAAAAATCTTTAAAAAACTGCCGAAAATGTTGCTCCATAGCAAGGCTTATTGCATTGGTTCATACTATATGCTTTTGTAGTTAGATATGCTTACACATACATATAAACAAATTTATATTAAACATTCACTTTTCTCTACTAAATCCCGCCCTCCCGCCACATGCAGCTCACCTATTGCTTGTGGCAAATGCGGCTGCGTCTTAATCCAGTGCTGCAGTTCGGCGACAAGCTCGTCCAACTCAGGCTTTACAACCATTTTGTTTAATTATTGTAAAACAATAAAACAACACAACGATAATTTTAACACAATTTTCGTATTGTTTAGGAAGTTCACACATTTATTAAAAAAATATATTAAACTAAACTGGCGTTGTGTGTGTGTTTTTTTTTTATTTTAGAGAGAAAAGTTATAGTTCAATTATTGCGCTTCGAATTTGATTGCTTTTTATGCTTTCACAATGTAGATAATTAAATGCCAGTTTTGCCGACAAATCTTTGTCCCCAAACTGAAATTCGCGCGACACCTCCTCTGTGCTGGAGATGAGTAAATCCAAGATACGAACTGCCGCTCACCAGGTACTCGCAGCAACTGAAAGCGCGTCCCAGCCAGTTGAGCTAATATAAACAGAGCGGTAGACTCGTGCTGGACGGTGGATTTGCCTACATACATACATACTTATTTACCCACTTATACATATATGCATATACTTTCATACTTCTTGGCGAAATGCGCACTAAGTTTAAGCCACATTCTGTGCGGTTGGCTAAAACGCTGTCGTGCCCATCGCGAAACTGCAAATGCAGTTACTACATTGGTGATGTGCTGTATGCCACCCTTGGCCGGCCTCCTCGGCACATTGGTGGGTAATGAAACAATGGTTACCATTTTCTTGTTTTTTTTTTTTACTTATTTTTCTTATATTTTGACAAATTTATTGTACAGCACTTTGCATACATACAATATGTATAGTTGCACATGCAACCTAGGTATGTACATATGTATGTATAAGCGACAATGTTGGCGTGACATTTAATTAGGTGCTTGTTTATTGGTGACATTGAAATTCGGCGATGTTGTCGTCACGCATGCGCAATTGCGTCCCATCTGCCAAAGAGTCGCCACGCTCGTGTGTACGCATCAATAACCAAGCAGTGGGAAAATTGACTTTGCTATGAATGAGTACATTATATTCTCACAGACGAAATAGTTAAATGAGTGATAATAAGTTAATAAGCTGAGTCTTCAAATGGCCCATTCTTTTTGCAAGGCTGTTGGCTAGTAAAGTCGACCTTTTCAAAAGACAACTGAAAAAAAACTTAAACTTCTTGGGAAGTCCATTTAAACACAATTTTTTGAAAATGCCTGAAAGGCAACACTTATAGTCATGTGAAAAATAATAGGGGCATGCCCATTTTTGGCTATTTTTCTTTTGTTTGTTTAATGTTTATTATTTTTTATAAAAATACAGCTCATTCTCTACCAAAAAATCACATGAACCCAATTTTCAAACTTTCTAGAAAAGTGTGAAAAAATAACAACAAAAAGTTTTTGGCCCGCAGTTTCATAGCCCATTAAATTCCAGCTTAATAAAGTTTAAGTTTCAAGTGACTAAGGATTCGCGTTGATTTTTCATCATTTTTTTGCGATGGTGTTATATTTAAAGGTTGGATTAAAAATGAAGTTATGTCTAAAGTTAAGCATTTTTATTGTCGATTTTTGTTATGTTTCTTGGTTGTAAAGCAATTTAAACCCGATAATGAAATGCTTTATGTACTTTAGACACAATCAAAAATTTTAATGCAATCTTTAAATATAAAGTGAGCTTTAAAGTTACAAGTTACTTGAGAAAACGGCCCTTGGGTTTTTTTTTTTTAATTCTCAATAATACAAAGTTTATAATCTTCATAGAAATATTAAAAAAATGTTCAATTTGTGACTGGTGGCACATGTCACACTGGTGTGAAGCAATTATGCATAAAAAAAGATTGCTGAAATGTAGTCATTTAAAAAGAGGTTACTACTGAAATAGAGATATTAGGGCATATTTAAATTTATGTCGTTTTCCGCTTTTACATGGATTGGCCCATAAAGTAACTTAAGGTGTGTCGAAAAAAGCTCGACGCAAAAAAATTAAGAAAAAAATGTATTTTCTGCTTAAAAGCAGCTCATAATACCAGTGGCAGAAATAAAAGAAGTGCCTTATTTAGACCAATATTCAAGATTCAATATTTAATTTTTTTTTTTATAAAAGTAAACCCCATATTACATATAATTAACGGCATATAAATTCATATTTTTCTGACGTCATGATATTTTCTAAAAGAACTTAATAATTTCAAAGATGTGACTAATTCCAAAACTTATTTAAAAAATTCAGTGAAATGTAGAACAAAAATATGGGTACCAAATGAAAAAAAAAACGGTAGAATTTTTGGGGTTCACAAGGGCGAATAGGAATTGCAAATGCCCCTTTAATCTATTTTATTTCTTTTAAGCTAATAAAGTTCGTCCTTAACATATAATTTAACAAAAAAAAAAATTAAATTTCAAGGATACATATTCGAGAATAAAATTATAAAAGTGTATTTTCAATACCTAAACGTCCCTTAAATAACAAAAAATTTGATATGTTTTAACTCTACAGAATTTTTTTTCCAAGTACATTGCACTGAATTTTTCGAAACATAGTTTTAATTACTCATATATCTAAAATTTTAAAGTTCTTTTAAAAAATCCTAAAGTTCAGAGAGAAAAACTAAGAACGCAATTTTAGTATATTTGACCCTTGGTTTCGCGAATATATTGATTTTTTTTTTTTGTAAATTACCTGTCGCAATATGTATATATTGAGCTACACATTTATAAAAATAAAAATATTATTATATATTAAATAAACAAAAGAAATATATCCATATCGCAATATGTATATATTGAGCTACACATTTATAAAAATAAAAATATTATTATATATTAAATAAACAAAAGAAATATATCCAAAACTGGTCAACATAAGACGTTTCTATTATTGCCACCAGCGTAAATTAAAAATCCACAAAATACCGGGATTCTAGGCAAATAATCCCTGGATTTTCGAACTTAAAAAATATCGGGATCCCGGGATTAACATTCTTAATGTAACATAGTACATATGTACATTCGTTTGCATCCGATTTCGTAATATTCGATTGCTAATTTAGAATTTTTGCTACTTTCAGATCTTTTTATTTTTTCCCTGTTAATAGTGCTCTAATGATTCTAACCACTTAGACCAGGACAAGGTGAATTCAATAAGGTGGTGTTGGAGCGACAGCTGAATTTTTCGCCATGGAAATCATAACGTCAAAATCGTTTATTTGTTGTAATTCTTACTGTCATTTTGTGTATGATTTGTTAGTGTAATTTTTTACTTATTTACGGCTAACACCACCTTATTAAATGCGCCTTGGACCAGGGGCTGGATTCCATAACTGTGAACTTTCGAGTGTGCATTGAAAATTTTATACAATCTTCTTTTTGCGGTTCAGGAAGTGTGAGAATGAGTTTTGACTGTCAAACTTGTGTGCACTACTCTTCTGAAAAACTCAAAGCATTTGATTCGGTGAGTTAGTTGTTATTGTTGTTGTAGCGGCACTTAAGCCCCGCCTATTTCGATTTGTCCTTCAATCGTTGTCGTCAAGCTCAATTAATGGTAGGCCGAAGGAACGCGCAGTTTCGTCGGGGTCGGACCAAACGGAGAGGGGTATTTGTTGAATGAAATTGAGCTGGAATGTGAAGAGGTGGTTGGTGTCGTGCGGGGAGTCTCCACATGCCGGACACTCATTGGGTATATTGGGGTCAAGTCACGCGTTTTTCACTCTGTCACACACAATTTTCTCACAGCTATAGAATCTAGCCCAGGGACTAAAAATCGGAAAATGAGGTAGTGTACACAATTTTGGCGGTGAAAACTCGTTCTCACACTTTCTGTATGACGCTTTTTTAAGCTTTTTATAGGTAGTCAACTGGTGTCCAAGTTAAATTAACATTTATTATCGTGCTGTTGTTTTTGTTGTATGCGTGTGCTGATATAGAAATGAATTTGAAATTGTTTTTAAAATGTGTAATTTTGTACATCAATAATCCGTTTCCGCTGTCCTCAGCGCCATCTCACTGTTCAGTATGGCAAGTGCTTTCCATAACCGATTTTTGGCATTTTGTTCCCAACCGATTCCGGTGCATTTTGTTCCCAAAGAACAGTTTCAGTGCCACTGTTATCGAAAAATCGCAAAAAATAAAAAGTTTGGCAACATTGTGAAAAAAGCAAACACGAGCCGCATTACAAACATCACGCAGAATTTTAGAGGAAAACATTGAATAGTGTTTAAATAATTAAATTAATTTCTAAAATAGATACACAAGGCGTATATTTGCATATATTAAAACGAACTACACTTCGTGCCTCCCCAGAACGCATTGTAAGTTGCGGAAAAATCGAGAATCAGCTTAATACCACGCAGACGCAAAACAACAACGTGCCGCGTGTAGCCGCACTGCCAGTTATTCCCAAAACAGTAAATATTAGCCGCAGCACTGAATTCGTGCCACGCACCACTTCCCTTAGTCCACAGGATGGTACCAATCGGTGCTGTACATGGTCACCCGGGCGTACATCCGCCACAGCCGATGCCTACGGCACCTACGGGCCCTAACACATTGCAGTCTTCGTCTTCAGCCACTTCCAACACCCCGTCAAATAAGAGTTCACTTTCGGTGAAACCCAATTATGCCCTGAAATTTACCTTGGCCGGTCACACAAAAGCCGTATCTGCTGTTAAATTTAGCCCAAATGGAGAATGGTTAGCCAGTTCATCGGCTGATAAATTGATTAAAATTTGGGGCGCTTATGATGGTAAGTTCGAAAAAACCATCTCCGGCCATAAGCTTGGTATAAGCGATGTCGCCTGGTCATCTGACTCTCGGTTGCTGGTAAGCGCCAGCGATGATAAAACACTTAAGGTGTGGGAACTAAGCTCGGGCAAATGTTTGAAAACTCTGAAAGGGCACAGCAATTATGTCTTCTGTTGCAACTTTAATCCGCAGTCTAATTTGATTGTTTCTGGCAGTTTTGATGAAAGTGTGCGTATTTGGGACGTGCGCACCGGCAAATGTTTGAAGACTCTTCCAGCGCACTCTGATCCTGTATCAGCAGTTCATTTCAATCGGGACGGGTCCTTAATTGTAAGTTCCAGCTATGACGGGCTATGTCGTATTTGGGATACAGCAAGTGGTCAGTGTCTGAAAACTTTGATTGATGATGATAATCCACCGGTGAGCTTTGTCAAATTTTCGCCAAATGGAAAGTATATTCTGGCAGCCACTTTGGATAATACTTTAAAATTATGGGACTACTCGAAAGGCAAATGCTTGAAGACATATACAGGACACAAAAACGAAAAGTATTGCATATTTGCAAATTTCTCAGTAACTGGTGGCAAGGTAATTACAATGGTTTATAAAATACTTATGCGATTTAAATTTAAAATATTTTTCTGCAGTGGATTGTATCTGGTAGTGAAGACAATATGGTCTATATCTGGAACTTACAGAGCAAAGAAGTCGTTCAAAAGCTTCAGGGTCATACGGATACTGTTTTGTGCACAGCTTGTCACCCTACGGAGAACATCATTGCTTCGGCGGCGTTAGAAAATGACAAGACTATCAAATTGTGGAAAAGTGACACATAAACGCACGCGAATCATAAAATTCGATTGCGTGCGAATACAAATATAGTTCTATTAATTAAACTAGTTTAAGAAATCAACCTCAGACGTTTACTATGTTTTGTAATAACAAAACCCTCATACATAAACATTTCATTTCCGATATCTGTACGAAATTAAACTTCATTCAAATAAAGTTCTAAAACTGATATCTTACTACGTTTAAGCGTAGGTCAGCAGACTTGAAAGCAAGACTTGACGTGTCTAAAAGGGGACTTATACGTAAGCTATTTGCAAATAAAAATAATTTGCAAATACCTAACTCACTGTTTATTCGACGGTGTGGAAAATTCTTTTCTAATATAACCTGATTATAAAAAGGCAATATTATTATTATTATTATTATTATTTAGATGCTGGTATGAATATGGCGACGTCTTGCCCTTATTTGCAGATAGTACCACTAATCAATACTTATTTACGTGATTTAGTTATTTGCAAATAAAAAATTAACTCAGCGTTTATACGGCAAAATTTACCATTTTGCAAATGGTTATTTTCAAATAATACGTGCGTATAAACGTAGTAAATATGCATGAACGAAAGACACAAGATCACGCGGGAAGGAAAGAACGAAAAAAGTTATTTTCTAGCTGCCGAAATCTCGACGCCATCTTTGTTGTAAGAAGTAAACAACGAAGAGAACGGAGAAAACCGCGAAATTGTTGAACGCATGAAAAATCATTTTTATTATGCAAATTCTTCTATAAATCATGCCGTTGTGTTAAATTATTCTTTATCTTATGTGTACACACGTTGTCACAAGCGAAAATGAAGAAAATTGCAGTAAAAAGCCACCACCAAATTGTAAACAACGAAGAAATGTAAACAAACGGCTAATGTCAAAATCGTTCAACTTTTTTCCTTAATGCGATTCTAACGGGCTACTCTCCTGCCCGCGTGATCTTGTCTTTTTGGTTCATGGTATATATGTGAGTGTCGTAGAATTATGATATTTAAGAACATCTTTCTCTTAATTAACGATGACACTGTATCTATAATGAAGCTGATCTCGACATTTTGTTTTAATAAGATTTAGTATCGAAAAATTCTTTCAAAAATTGCCTAGGAATGTGAGGTTGATAGCACACCTTGGGCTATGTTATGTTTTTAAAAACTTGCAAAGGCAAAAACGAGAAGACGAAGACAAAAAGAGAATAAAAAATTTCCCCCAGTGAATTTTCAGAGCTATGTATATATAGATAGTATTCATCACAAAATTGTACTAAAAAGTACTGCGTAGTAGGAAAGTATATTGTAAACGAAATTGTATCAAAAGAGTACAATTGTACCAAAACTGCCAACACTGGTGAAAGTGTAAGTCCGGCAAAGTCAGGTTTAAGAAACGCTGTTTACTAGGGCATGCCGTGGCTTAACGATGCTTCTGCAAATTTCAAAAAGTCACAATCCTATTTAGTTTCTCCCTAGTACTACGTTTATGCGACAGAATTCATGAGTTCTCCATTCCATGAATTCAAAAGTGGCCCCGTTTATGCATAGTTCGCGAATTCATAAAATAAAGAGCTTTAAAAAAGTGGCAACGCACTAGCGAGAAACTAAACAGTAGGGTTGTGGCTTTTTTGGCCTCCCTTTGAATTTGAAAAATCTGTTGGTACCAGGCAGGAAACGAACCATATTATATTTAAATTGGTTTTAATATACTTTCGTTTTAATCTATTTAAATTTATTTTATATTTGAACAATTTCACGTAACTTTTCCAGAGCTGTAAATCCTGTTTATGCAACTCATGCTTTTTAATCTAAAAACATCAGGTTCTTACCCGTACGCAACGCGGCATCCCGCGGGTTCCAAAAATAGCCCAGAAATTATTCCCGTACTCAACAAAATGGGTAATAGAGATCGAAAATTGGAACGTATTGGATCGTAAGTGTCTTCTTCTTCCTGCCCAAACAGCCCGGACTTTTTCTCGGGGTAAAAATGGATAAAGCGTCAAAGTGCATATCAGCTGTTTTGCGTTTACATGTTGCCTGAATTTACTTGGTGCTTTTAAGGAATAGTGAATGTATTTTCAATCTTAATATTCTTAAAATCAAATTTGTGGAACAAAAATTCAATTTACAAGTGTTTGCATTTAAGTGTCAAAACCAAAAACAACGCGAATCAACTGTTTCTCAAATTCTGGGCACGAAATGTGTTTTTTTTGCGTTCCCATACTTCTGGATTATGTTCTATTTTTGAGAGCAAACTTTTCGCTTATTCTCTAATTACCGGATCACGTCTGGATTGTTAGGGAAAGAACCTATCATAACCCTAGTAAACAGCTGTTTGTGGAACGTGGCGTTGCCGAACTTGCACTTCACGATTTCATGAAATGATGCCGAATTCATGGTTAATTTTCGTGTATAATTGAATGCATGAAATGAAGTTCATGCAGCCAATTTTAAACCAAATGCATGAAATGAATTCGCGAATCAGCTTACGCATAAACGTGTATAGTACGCTACGCCACTTTTTCAAAATTCTTTAAAACATGCGCAACTCTAAAATCGGATCCGAAAATATAAAGCTGATGCCACATAAAACTTTTGCTTCGCTTTACGTGACAGATTCGCTTTGACAGATAAGATGAATTGTATGAAAATGCACAAAGCATGCCACATAAATCGTCGAAGCTGCAGCGCGAAGCGAAAAGATGGCCAACTCCCATCTTTTTGCGCGCTTTGACAATCAGCCAGTTTAATATTTATTTTGTTTCGTCCAAATTCGAGTTTTCATGCAGAAACATAAAACTTAATTACATTGCTGATAATTTTAAAGCAAAATATATGAAATCCACAGCAACTTTGACTAGTAAAAAAGCGGTACAAAATTGTTTTCTTGGCGTTCATTGTGGCATACCTTTTGCGTTTGGCGCTTTGCTGGCAAAGTTATAAATGTCACGCAAAGCTACAAAGTTTTATCTGGCATCAGCTTAAGTGCTTGGTGATGGTGCAATTAATACAACAACAGGTATTACAGTAGTTTGCTGGTGAGAGAATATATATAATGAAGAAAAAATACATATTTACATTAATTGGGGATAAATCATTTAATTATGCAAAATTTTGAGAATTATGCAGAAATGGGGTATTTGAAAGTCGCCAAATTCAAGTTTTGCGATGACAAATAAATTTTCTCCGATTTGGCAACCCTATTTTTATATCCACGTGAAGTAATCTGGTGAAACTGCAACATCTGTCGTCTGCAATTTCCTAAAATTCCAAAATAAGTAGTTTGTGTAAATAAATTTTTATAAAAATCATCGAAAAACATAAAGCAGTATGTCGAAAGCCAAGGGCAAAAAGAAAAACGATCATTTAGAAGACGATGAAGATATAGAGGAAGTAAAGACAGCGTCGAACAAAAAGGCTGGTAAAAAAGGAAGAAAAGGTAAACGTGGCGGTGATTCCAGCGACGACGAATCGTTAGCAGGCAAGAAAGTTACCACCAACGATGCTGATGATTTAGAAAGCGTTAAGTCGGGAAGTAAAGCTCCGCAATCAAAAGGCAAAAAGGGAAAGAAAGGCAAGCGGAAAGACGAGTGGAGTGATGACGATGATGAACCAGAACCCATCGTACAACTTGGTGGCAAGAAAAAGGGATCAATAATTCAAGCCAGCGATGAAGATGATCCCAGCGTACCGCAACCAGCAGCAATCGCGAAAAAGCAAGGAAAAAAGAGCAAGAAGAACAAAAAGAAGGATGACTTCAGCGATGACGAAGATAGTGGCAATCAGAAGCCGAAATTTCCTGAATTGGTAGATGACGGTGATTCGGATGATGAAGAACTTTTAGTCGCAATTGCCAAACCGGCTTCAAAAAAATCAGTCAAGAAGCAACAGAAAAAAGCAAACAAATTTGCAATAAGTGATGATGACGAAGAAGAAGAAGCTGTATTATTGGAAGAACAATTAGAAGATGAAGCTAGTGAAGAGCCTGAGCCAGAGCCAAAAACAATTATACCAAACAATGAAAAGGAGGTAGAAATATCCGAAATAAAAGAAGTTATGGAAGTCACGGAAAAAATTGAGGAGCTGCAGATAGAAAGTAATGTGCCTTTAGAAGAAACTCTGGAAGAGCAAGTATATCAAGAGGAGAAAAACAAGGATGCAGATAAAGAAAATAACACAGAGTCAACCCTTAAGGAGAAAAAGCTTACGCATAAGGAAAAGAAGAAACAAAAGAAGCAACAGGAATATGAGAAGCAAATGGAGCTAATGACAAAGAAGGGTGGGTCTGGTCATTCCGACTTGGATAGCAATTTTACCATGTCTCAAGTGCAGCGCACTGCTGGTCAGCAAGCACAATTGGAGCACGCCGTTGACATCAAAATTGAGAATTTTACGATCTCGGCTAAAGGTACGTTACCATGTTGCAATTCTTCGAACTGTGTCTAAAATTTCATTTTTTTTTCAGGTAATGACTTGTTTGTAAACGCCAATCTTTTGATTGCTCACGGACGTCGTTATGGTTTAGTAGGCCCTAATGGGCATGGCAAAACCACCCTTCTCCGGCACATAGCCACACGTGCCTTCGCTATTCCGCCAAACATAGATGTGCTGCTCTGTGAACAAGAAGTAATTGCTACTGACAAAACAGCCATTGAAACAATACTAGAGGCTGATGAGAAAAGAAATAAGCTTTTGGCAAAGTGTAAAGAGTTGGAGGATCAATTTGCTGCTGGCGATATGAGTGTTCAAGAGGAATTGAACGACACATTTTCCGAGCTAAAAGCCATTGGCGCATATTCGGCGGAATCCCGTGCTCGTCGTATCTTGGCTGGTCTTGGTTTCAGCGAAGAAATGCAAAACCGCCCGACAAATAAGTTTTCCGGTGGCTGGCGCATGCGTGTTTCGTTAGCGCGAGCACTTTACTTGGAACCAACCTTACTTATGCTTGATGAACCTACTAACCATTTGGATTTGAACGCTGTAATCTGGTTAGATAATTATTTGCAGGGTTGGAAAAAGACGCTTTTAATAGTTTCCCACGACCAGAGTTTCTTAGACAACGTATGTAACGAAATAATACATCTCGATCAGAAGAAACTGCATTACTACAAGGGTAATTACTCCATGTTTAAGAAGATGTATGTTCAAAAGCGGCGCGAAATGATAAAGGAATATGAGAAGCAGGAGAAACGCTTGAGAGAACTGAAAGCTCATGGTCAATCAAAGAAAGCAGCTGAAAAAAAGCAGAAAGAAGTTCTCACCCGAAAACAAGAGAAAGGGAGGCCTAAGCAGCAGAAGCAAGATGACGATGATGGGCCTCAGGAACTATTGGCTCGTCCAAAAGAGTATATCGTCAAATTCCGCTTTCCAGAACCGTCACAGCTGCAACCCCCTATTTTGGGAATACACAATGTTACTTTTGCTTATGAAGGGCAAAAGCCACTGTTTGTCAATACAGATTTCGGTATAGACTTGACAAGTCGAGTGGCCATCGTTGGGCCAAATGGGGTGGGCAAATCTACGTTCCTTAAATTGCTACTTGGGGAATTAGAGCCACAAAAAGGAGAGCAACGCAAAAATCATCGGCTTCGAGTCGGTCGATTTGATCAGCACTCTGGTGAACATCTAACTGCCGAGGAGTCCGCCGCAGAGTATTTGCAACGCCTTTTCAATTTGCAACACGAGAAGGCGCGCAAGGCGTTAGGTTCGTTTGGTTTGGTGAGCCATGCGCATACTATAAAAATGAAGGATCTCTCCGGTGGTCAGAAAGCGCGAGTTGCCCTCGCTGAACTCTGTCTAAGTGCGCCCGATGTGCTGATTCTCGATGAACCTACGAACAATCTCGACATTGAGTCTATTGACGCCTTAGCAGAAGCCATTAACGAGTACGAGGGTGGTGTAATTATAGTATCTCACGACGAACGGTTGATTCGTGAAACTGGCTGTACATTGTACGTAATTGAAGACCAGACCATTAATGAAATCGATGGTGAATTTGATGACTACCGTAAGGAGGTGCTGGACGCGCTCGGCGAAGTGGTCAATAATCCGAGTGTTGTGGCTAACGCAGCCGTGTTGCAATAATTAAACACGTCTTTGATTAAGATATTTGAAATTGTTTTGTATGCATTCTAGTGCTAGATTGAAATTATTTAAAAAAATAAACCGTTAAAGTTGATTTATGAAGAAGGGGCTTTGGTCGAAATACATGATGCATTGTACATATGTATGAAACAAATTTAAATTTGCGCGGATATTTGAAAATGAAGATGCACACGTCACTTGAATATTCGTATGCTCATAATTGCGGTAAATTGGCATTTTTTATTTTGTATCGGATATACCGATCGATCTCTATTTGGACAGGTAAACAAAGTTTTGCACACAACCCGACATAAAATTTATCCGTTGCACACACCAATTCAAGGCGTATTTACACCAAATTGTATTTAAGTGGATGCCATCCTTTCTAATGCCACAGAAGAGGCACAGACAATCAAGTTTATTGCAAAGAACGTAGATAACTAGATTATAGATATAGAAGATAGATTATCTACGTTCTTTGGTTTATTGTTTATCTGATCGCTGAAATACCCGCCTTATAGACAAAACTCGAAGTGAATTTGAAATCAATCGACGCCATCTTTGTTGTAAGAAGTAAACAATGAGGAGAACGAAGAAAACCGCGTAATTGTTGAACGCATGAATAATCATTTTTATTATGCAAATTCTTTTATAAATCATGTCCTTGTGTTAAATTATTCTACACACGTTGTCAAAAGCGAAAATGAAGAAAATTGCAGTGAAAAGCTAACACCAAATTGGAAACAACGAACAAATGCAAACAAACGGCTAATGTCAAAATCGCCCTACTTTTTTCCTAAATGCGATTATAACGGGCTACTCTTCTTGCGTGATTCGGTATTTTTGGTTCATTGCAGCGAACCCTGGTGCTGAAACAACTAACAAGATCACGGTAAAGAATGAAAAAAGTAAATTTCTGAGTGTTTTTGATATCCGCCTAAGAACAAAAAAAAAAACAAAGAAAACGAAAAAGGCGCGGTGATTGAGTGCGATTATATTGGTATTTATTATAAAATATAAAAAGTGAAACTTGATGACAATTAGCAAAAAAAAAGTTCATAAAATATGGTTTTCATGCATGATACAAAAATTTGAAGGTAAAACCCAAGGCGAATTTATATAAGGTGGTGTTACTAAAGGCCCGTTTACATAGAACTTTGGCGTTGCGTTGGCGTTGGCGTCGCTTCAACAGCTGACTATGAATACATGAATTCAAATGCAGCCGTCCACATAGCCAAAATTCGACAACGCTCACGCCAACACAAAGCAAAAAGATGGCCAACTCTCAACTTTTCGCGTGCGTCGCTCGTCAGCTGTTGCGAATAAATAAAATTATGTGAAATATTTTTCCTTTTTAATCAAGTGCGGGCAAGAAATATCGTTTTTAATGCAATTATTGATATGAAATATTAATTTATCTGTCGTTAATATGTTAATTTAGTGGCCCAAGGATTCGCCGCCAAGCGTTCATTGTAGCAAGCATACTTTTAACGTGCGTTCTGTCAAACCAACGCCAACGCCAACGCAACGCCAAAGTTGTATGTAAACGGGCCTTTACTCAGCAGCGGGTCGATTTTTCAATGCCAACGCACAAACTTGTTCCAATCACAAAGCGCTTAATTTTATATCATGAATTTGTAATAAATCAATTTTAAAATTAAAATCCCTCATAAAACACACGAAATTGCTAAAAAAAAGCCTCCCCGAAGCGATAGAAGACGATGTAACAAAACGGAAAATCATCAAAAACGGTACAAAAACTTTTTTCTGAAATTCGATTATAAATACAACGATGGCCGATTAACTGATCTGTAGCTCGCACCTCTAAATTCGCCTTGACAGCGTCCTTGACAGAGTTGGCATCACTGCTTTTCGCCTTGCTTTTGTCAAGTAAATTTTTTACAAGCTGATTGTCGAAATTCTGTCAAATTCAGTTCACGGATAAAGTTTGCGGAAAAATGAAAACAATGAAAATTTAGAAGTAAAATAAAATATTGTTAGTTACTTGGGTTGTGGTCAAACAAGTGAACAATAAATTTATGTGTATAAAGTGCGAAGCAAACAGTTTACGAAAGTTGAGTTGAAAACCACGGGAGCTCTGCAAACATGAGTGAATTCGAAGCAGCAGGGGTTAATACAAATATCCTGACCCCGAGCACGGGCCAGGGGTCCTTTAATTGTGTTGACAGCAACGCTGATAGTGCACGCAATAGTCCGCAAAGAAGTTCAAAAACCCCTGATAGCCAGGAAAAAATAGAAATTACTCACATCAAACAGATCCGCCTGCCTATTGAGGGCATGACTTGCCAGAGTTGCGTAAGGACTATTGAGGGCACGATATTAGGGAAGCCAGGCATTCTAAATGTGCATGTGGTTCTAGAAGAGAGTGCTGGTTATTTTGACTACAATCCAGAAATAACAGATCCGCCTAAAATCGCCTTTGAAATAGAAGAAATGGGATTCGACTGTCCATATAAAGCTGCAGACGAAACCGTAGAAAAGGCTGCGGGTGGGAGCATAGCTTGTAGTTCTAAAACACAAATACGCATCATTGGTATGACTTGCAACTCGTGCGTTCGCAACATTGAAGGAAACATAGGTACGAAGCCTGGTGTTTTAAAAATTTGTGTAACTTTAGAGGATAAGCGAGCTACGGTGGAGTATGATTCCACCCGATTGACGCCTAGAGAAATTGCTGAAATGATTGACGACATGGGCTTTGAAGCAAGCGTATGTGCTGAAGCTAACGCTGGTGACGTAGGAGTTAGTACACCCAAACACACACCAAAGCGTAGTTCAACACCCCCGCTGAAGCAACAGGTGTCAAATGGATCTCCTGCAAACGCCTCCCCAAAGGCCCACGCAATGGTTTCCGTTGACGAGGCATTATCGAAATGCTTTCTGCATATACGTGGCATGACGTGTGCCAGTTGTGTAGCAACCATTGAGAAACACTGCAGAAAGATTTATGGATTAGATAGTATACTTGTGGCGCTGTTAGCCGCCAAGGCAGAGGTGAAGTACAATGCCAATGAAGTGACTGCTGAAAATATTGCCAAATCAATAACGGAGCTGGGATTTCCATCGGAAATTATTGATGAACCGGGAAGTGGGGAGTCAGAGGTAGAAATTGAAATTGCGGGTATGACCTGTGCTTCCTGTGTAAACAAAATCGAGACGCATGTACGGAAAGTGAAAGGTGTTTCAGCAGCTGCAGTAACATTAATGACTCAAAGAGGTTTGTACATAAGTAAAAGGCAATAATTTGGTAATAGTTTATCTAAATATAAGAAATGCATTTGCCGTCTCTTGAGTAGTAGTCAATTCGGCATCTAGCCAAAAACTAGGAACCATTAAAGTGTGAGTAGTTTGTATACTCATAGCTGGTTTTTGTAAGCATTTATTGTATTGTGCGATACGTGCTTTGGAATCGGCATACATATTTAAGTAGTACAAACAATACAAACAAATATACAAAATGTGAATGCTTACAAATCCAGTTTTTATATAGATACATATGTATACATTTTCCTATGAGCTTTGTTTGATATTTAAAGACTAAAATAAGCTATAACAAAGCTTTCTTAGATATTTATCTTTTATAAGGCAACGTAGCTGTATTAATATTTCCCCCCAGCAGTTGTATTACATAGTTATATTTTAATACAGAAATTAGTGACTCCAAAAATAATTAATAATGACTGTTTGCTTGAAGATTTTGCCGTCTAGTGTTATCTAAATGAGAACTTTTGATATATAGCCGAGGTGAATTACTTTGATTCATGTATGTATGTACCTAGGCAATACGTCTAGTAGGACCTTCTCACCTTTTGCTACACTTAGTATAAAGTTCATATATATGTATGTATGCTTCAGAGGGAATGCCCAAATGTCACTCACAAAATGCATGTAATATGCAATGACATTATGCATGTATAAATAAATAAAAAACCTTTGCTACTTTTCCAAATCTACCCATATATTAATATCATGTGATATCTAAAGAATCTACAATGAACTTATCACTAAGCCGTTTGTTATCACAATTATCTAAGCGTCGATTGTAGGTGTTCATATATATAGATACATATAACATTACCTACTTATGTATGTATTTCGACATATTTCAGACATTGCTTGGCTTAAGCCCCGCATCATATCGCGCTATCAATTCATGCATATGATAACATACATATGTATGTGCGTATGTATATGCATTTACGCGTACATAATTAGAATACAATGAAACACTAAGAAATCTAGCGCATTCCTATTAATAATGCGTATTTGAAAGCAATATACATAAAATATTTCGAAATCGGAATGATGCATGTGTGTAATTTATTACCGATGTATCGTCATTACAAAATAAAGCCTTATTTCTTATCACTCCTTGCAAAATAAATATATAAATATATACTTTAGACATCAAATAAATAAAAAAGTCCCCATTGTGATGTAGGTTGGGTTTAAACATTACCCAGTAGAACGCACTTCAGAAGGCCTTTTGGAGGAGTTCTTTTAAATTTGGTTCTTTAATTTATAAAAATCCTACATCTTTGAAGTGTTTGCTTAAGGTTTATATCAAATATGTGTTATTGCAACTTTAAATGTTTATTTAAAAGCCAAACCATATAAATTTATGCATTCGCGTAAATTGTAAATGGATAAGCCCTTCTAGAAGGCAGGCAAGGAAGCACTTTTTTCAGTCCTTCTTGGGTAGGCTCTTACAGTGGCTTTCCTTAAGAAGGCCTACCTAAATTATCTTCTGGGTACCCTCATAAAAGAACAGAGGTGGGCTTGTCCTTATCTGTAAAACCATACATTCATATGTAAATATCGCACATCGTCTTCAAAACTGACACAACTCAAAATTTGGCATTTCTGAAATAATGCGCTAAAAAACGTGCACAGATATTTTATTTACCTTCCAGCAAACGAACAAGTTTTTTTTATGATTTGTTAAAAAAAAACATAAGGTAAAGTCCCTCTTGCCCATATGATTATCATGTGCTAGGAAATAGTTTTGCGCATTTTCTGATAAACGTGTAATTTTGAGTTGTGCCCCCGTCGAAGACGGACTGTGATATGTATGTCCGGAATTTCGCCCACTCTTGAACGCTGGTTTACGCTAAAGTATTAAGAAAATAGTTTACAGGAGTTAGGCTCGGTTTTATGCAGAACTTACTAATATTATTTTTATTTGCATTAACTTAGCAACTATTCCATCGTTACACATTGGTGCCAAACCAATTAAATTTGTGTCAAAAGTAACTAACCATGGGTTTATTATCAACACTGGCCCTACCTGCATTGACCATGTGTATTCAACTGTAGGCAAAGTCTATAATACTTTAAGGAATTTACGAATGTCTGCTCCATTCACACCGATAGAAATCAGACGTAAACTCGCAATCCAACTTATAATGCCAATTATCTGTTATTCTGAGGTAGTCTACAGCAGGTTAGATTCACAATCAGCTCACAAATTAGATGTAGTATTTAACCAGATCACGCGCTATGGGCTAGCAAAATATGAGCATATTTCCGCTTGGAGAACGCGCCTACTTGGCTGCGAAATTTCTGAATATCTTAAAGCTAGAAATTGTATATTCCTTTTTCGTCTCATGACAGATAAGGCACCCAAATATCTATATGAAAAATTAACGTTCCTCAAATCTACTCGAGTAAAGGACTTGACTGTTCCTACCTACAATTATCTCTGGATCTGGAACTACTCTGTTAATTACATTATGATACTTTTAATTAGTCTTAAGTAATTTTTGCTGTTTTAGTTATATGTATGTATGTACTGTTATGAATTTTTTGTTGCGATATAAAAGATCTTTCTTTTGATCTTATTGTGCTAATCATTTAATTAATAAATGAAAATGAAAAATTACAGGAAAATTCCGATATAATACCGAGTTGACTGGCCCGCGCAGCATATGCGAGGCTATCGAACAGCTGGGCTTCACGGCACGTCTGCTCAATGGCAAAGACAAAATGACGCACGACTACCTGCAACACAAGGAAGAGATTGCCAAATGGCGCAATGCCTTCTTGGTATCTTTGATATTTGGAGGGCCCTGTATGGTTGCCATGATCTATTTCATGGTCGAAATGGGAGACAAGGGACATGCAGCGATGTGTTGTTTGGTTCCCGGTTTGTCGATGGAGAATCTGGTAATGTTTTTGCTCTCCACTCCAGTACAGTTCTTCGGGGGTTGGCATTTTTACGTGCAGTCCTTTCGCGCAATCCGTCACGGTACCACAAACATGGATGTGCTAATTTCAATGGTCACTACGATATCCTATCTCTACTCTGTGGCGGTGGTCATAGCAGCTGTGTTAATGGAACAAAACTCCTCACCCTTAACATTCTTCGACACGCCTCCTATGTTGCTGATTTTCATATCCCTGGGTCGCTGGTTGGAGCATATTGCTAAGGGGAAGACATCCGAGGCTCTTTCGAAACTGTTATCATTGAAGGCGGCTGAGGCGCTGCTGGTCGATGTGACTCCTGACTTCGATATAAAATCGGAAAAGGTTATACCGGTAGACTACGTACAGCGAGGCGACATTCTCAAGGTTATACCGGGTGCAAAGGTGCCGGTGGACGGTAAAGTTCTTTATGGTCACTCGACTTGCGATGAAAGCCTCATCACGGGCGAATCAATGCCAGTGGCCAAACGCAAAGGTGCAGTAGTCATTGGCGGCTCGATAAACCAAAATGGCGTGCTACTCATATCTGCAACTCACACGGGTGAAAATACAACCTTGTCACAAATTGTGCGCTTGGTCGAGGAAGCGCAAACTTCCAAAGCGCCCATACAGCAGTTGGCCGACCGTATTGCCGGATATTTTGTGCCCTTCGTTGTGGTGGTATCGACAATTACGCTTATCGGTTGGCTGATAGCTGGCTTCGCTGACCCGAACCTCGTGCCGGTAGCAATGGAACACAAAATGCATATGGACTCTAACGCAATTGTCATTAGTCATGCCTTCAAATGCGCTTTGAGCGTACTCGCTATTGCTTGTCCTTGCGCGTTGGGTCTGGCCACTCCAACTGCGGTAATGGTAGCCACAGGCACCGGAGCCATCAACGGTGTGCTGGTCAAAGGTGCTACAGCCTTAGAAAACGCCTACAAGGTATGATGCCTGCATAATTAGATGTATAATATGTACATATATGTATATTTTTTGTGTTTTAGGTAAAAACTATTGTCTTCGACAAAACCGGTACCATAACGCACGGCATGCCAATGACCTCCAAGCTAATTATGTTCGTCAAACCCGCAGTCTGCAGCTTAGCGCGAGCGCTCACCATCATTGGCGCTGCTGAGTCCAACAGCGAGCATCCAATAGCTTCTGCGATTGTGCGCTTCTCAAAAGATGTGCTGGGCTTGCAAACGTTTGGAAAGACACAGAACTTCCTTGCCGTGCCGGGATGTGGCATAAAAGTGACCGTTCTGCAGTATGAGCAGGCGTTGCGTCAGGCTTGCAATGCAGAGAAAATTATTAATTACGAAAATAACTACCGTTCCAATCCCAGCTCCACACACACCGAAAATGGCGCCAGCATTGAAGAGCTGATACCACAGTTACTGACACGCAAATCCATGGAGCTTCAGCAGCAACAACAGCTTTTGCAATTAGATGAGACCTTACCCTCTGAGGCCGTATCAACCGTGCTGGGCAGCGAGATAAATGTTCTGATTGGCAATCGTGAATGGATGCATCGCAACGCCATATCGGTGCCAAATGAAATCGATAACTGCATGAGCGAGGAAGAAACAAAAGGTCACACGGCTGTGCTGTGCGCGTTGAATGGTCAGCTCATCTGCATGTACGGTGTGTCAGACCTAGTCAAGCCTGAGGCGCATCTAGCTGTTTACACGCTGAAGAAAATGGGAATCAATGTAATCCTGCTAACGGGTGACAATGAAAACACTGCTGCAAGTATAGCGCGCCAGGTAAGTTATCCCATAAAACTAAAAAGCTTGTACTGATCCCAACTCGATTTCAGGTTGGCATTAAACGGATCTTCGCCGAGGTGTTACCCTCGCACAAAGTGGCCAAAATTCAGCTCATACAAGAAAGCGGTGCCCGTGTCGCGATGGTTGGCGACGGTGTCAATGACAGCCCCGCTCTGGCTCAAGCCGACGTTGGCATCGCTATTGCGGCAGGCACTGACGTGGCGGCCGAAGCAGCCGATGTGGTGCTGATGCGCAACGACTTGCTGGACGTGGTGGCCTGCCTCGACCTGTCGCGCCGCACCGTGCGCCGAATACGGTACAACTTCCTCTTCGCCAGCATGTACAACCTTCTCGGCATACCGCTGGCGTCGGGCATATTTGCACCCTTCGGCTTCACGCTGCAGCCGTGGATGGCGTCAGTGGCGATGGCAGCCAGCTCGGTATCAGTGGTCTGCTCATCTCTAATGCTAAAATGGTATCGCAAACCCTCGGCTGCTTCGTTGCGTACACCCGAGTACATGAAACTTCTGGCACAAGAGCGCGACAATGAACTCGAACCCGATCAGTTGTCATTGCATCGAGGCCTGGAAGACTTACCACGCGCTAAGCTAAACCGCTCTAATAGCTCACTTCTGTCACGAATATTCCTACACGGCGGCGATAGCATTCGTTACGATCACAACGAAGGCAGCCTACTGGAAACAGAAGGTCGTGATTTCTCCCCGAAAATTGTTAAGTCGAAGAATATCCGAAATGTGACCGAAATGCAGAAGCTTTAAAGCGATGAAAGGCAAGTTTTTTGTGATTGTCCGTAGGTAGTGAAGTGTAGAATTTGTTTTTGTTATTTTGTATGTTTATATTTGTATAACTGAGAAGTATGTAAATTTTAAAAATAAGAAGCGCAACGTAGAGATGTTTCTATCTTAAGCCCTCTGTTCTCCGCTATTGAACAAAATAACGATCACTATTTTTTTACATAAATTAAGGTGCATTTACTTTGTGCATATGTTTGTAAAAAGATATTTTTTCCGGGGATCCAAATCGCTTTTCGAAGAAAAAATTTTCGATAAGTTTATATACATAGAATATTTTTCTAACTTTTGCCTTTCTACAAAAATCCAACCTGAACAAAAAANTACTATTTTTTTACATAAATTAAGGTGCATTTACTTTGTGCATATGTTTGTAAAAAGATATTTTTTCCACGGATGCAAATCGCTTTTCGAAGAAAAAATTTTCGTTAAGTTAATATACATAGGATATTTTTCTAACTTTTGCCTTTCTACAAAAATCCAACCTGAACAAAAAATCCTAAAAGGTACGATAAGCAGCAGCAGTATGTAATATACATAATATGTACGCAAATATACGAAATATTATTCAATATTATTTAAAAAAGTGTTACACACATACATACAAATTCAAACTATATATCTGTGCTCATAAGCAATAACCGCCTAAGTCGAAAAACCTGAATTCGAGAAAAAACGTTTTAAACATTTGGATAGTAATGTTAGCCTTATGGGGTAACAAAAATATTTTCGTCTTGAACTTTTCGACAGCCTAGCTGCCGAGATGGCGATTTCACACACGCCTGGAATAGTAGTTGCACAATACGATAGCATATATAGCTCAATTATTTCTTAAGTCGACTTAGGCGGTTATTGCTTATGACCACAGATACAATACATGCATATACACATATACATATTCATAGTCTCCATATCGATTTAGAATAAAGACCCTATATCAGTGAAAACTTCCCAAACGCAATTAATAATGTTTGCGGTGCCAATTAACTGCTATGTGACAGCAGCAGCACCACAAAGCCTTTATCGTTTATTTATCGTTTATCAAAATGTTAGAAAATACGAGTAGCGTGAAATTTTTGATAAGAGGAACATTCTTGTGTTTTTCGAACAGATTGGCATTTGTGATGTGTACTGTGTGCACTGTGGGATTAAAATTTAGTTTCATATAAAATAAAACAACAAAGCATAGTAATACACAACTGATAGCTCAAATTTTGATGTTTTAAGAATTTAAGAAATGTACTTCTGATGACTTCACTATATTTTGAAAATGCAATTTTAAAATGAAAATGTCTTGGGAAAATGACCTGATCCAGAAAAACGGTATACAGATCCGTAATCTTCGACCCAAAAAAGGAGGAGCTAATCAGTTCGTCGGAATATTTTTTTTTTTTATGTATGTTACCGCATAACTTTGGACCACGTCAACCGACGATAATTCGATAATTCTATTTGCATCGGAATGGTAGTGTCTCAAAGGTGGTGTTATACTAGTCTGGTTTAGATCCGATCAGTGGATCATGAAATATATAGTGGGGTGTGTTTTTTGCTAAAAATTACTTGTTGTCATTTGTTGTCCCTACAGTGCTATTTTTGATTCGAAAAAAATCTACTCGTCATTTGAAGTTTCATTAGAACTTTATCTCTTCCATTTGCATTTGTTTTACATGTTTTGTTAACGCGTTAATACCAACTTTGTCGTACCCTATTTAAACATGTCTAATATCTTCAACGTGACAATGCCAGCGTCGTGTTGTACAAGTTTTAATTTCATCTTTTATCAAAGACAGTGGTGGTGCATAGGTGCTGTATGAAAAAGTAAACACAGTTGGTTAAACTTAAATTGTTACCGTGTCTCTCATTGGTTTTTGTATGGTTCGATTGCGGTTGCCCTATAAATATTTTGCCATCTTATTGCCCAAATGGGGCGCTGAAGGAGAACAGACACTGGCTGAAGCCACAATTAATTACTCGTGGCACAATAATTTCAATGAACTGCAGTTGATACAACAGCGCAGCTGTTTTCTTTCGACGCATTGTTTTTTTTTTTTTTTTTTTTTTTTTTTTTTTTTTTTTTTTTCGCCCTTTTTTTTTTTTTTTTTTTTTTTTTTTTTTGTTAACATTTCGTGCACCAAAATCAAACTTAAAGTAAAATAACAACACGTGCGCTCCTGCCGCACTGGCAAAAAGTATTGATGCGAACATGTTAAAATCTACTTACAGATATGGGGAAATCTCCGGAACCATGTGCTTTTAAATTAATTTTATTAATATAATTTCACTTTTTATAAAAAATAGGACCATTTTGATAACAAATTTGACGATTTCTTTTAGCTTATTTAATTTATTTATTTTTTGATAGTGTCATTTTTACTTTTATAAACAATCAGTCATTAAAAAATGAATTTTGCGGTCACTTTGGATACCTTTGGTACTTTTTTGAGTATAACTTTCAGCGCAAAATTAGGGCATTCAAAAATCATGGCAAATAGTAAATGTAATATTGGAAATGTACTAGGCATTGAGAGAAATAGGTGCTCCTCATTGGAAATAAACTGTAATAATTTGAAATCTGTCCCTCATAATTGTCAAATAGTTATTATTTTTGGTTCTTTTCCATTTTGCATTTTCAGCAATTAATTAATTGTTTTTATTTCTGTATATGATATTTACAATCAGTTTTACAAAATTTGATATACACATTGCACTTGACCTTTTTAAACACCGTTACACACCTTTTAAATCACGTCCTCTAGATCTTACGAGTTTTAAAAAATGATAATTTTTACTTATAACTCCTTAAGCATTTGAGGAAAATTAATCACACGAGAATTTTGAATTTCCTCAATGGATTTCAAAAAATTTTATGTATAATTTATTTTTGTGTGTTTAATTAAAAAAATTACGTTCTTTTTAGCGTTGAATCGCACTGTTATGGAGATTTGCCTATATACTTACAATTTTTCGATGAGGGATATTTTCCATTTCACGCTAAATAAACTTCGATCCAATTATTTGCATATGTAATCGCAAGTAATTTTGTTTTATTGACTCGAAATTTCTTAAATTAGTTTCTAAACGATATCGAATAAAAAGTAGTAACTGCAAATTAGAGCTCATAATTGCTTTCAAACCATGTGGGTGTCACAGGTTCTTTCATACACTTGCCCTGGTCATTGTCAACATGAAATTTCCCATAACTTCAACAAACTGTTCAACATTCCTCTATTATCTCCATTGGTGAGCGCTCCGTGCTGTTTTCCAATTTTGTTTTTGTAATAGGATAGACATGAAGGTTTTCCTTGAAGTCCTTAATGTCTACAATTGTGGTAGCGTCACCGTCTTTCGGTATGAATCGCACATCCAATTTGCTGGCCAAAGCATTGAATAGCTCCTCGTCGTCGACCTCCGATTCAGCACCACTGCTGCCTCCGCTGTCGTCATTGGAGTTCTCGCTCCGCGTCGGGGCGCGTTTTACGCGCACCGAATCTTTATTGCCAATAACTTGCACCGACAATTTACGCAGATTGGTGCGTTCGTTGCTCAGACAAAAATCGATAATATCTTGTTTGGTCAGCGCGCGCAGTACCTCAACCTCTCGCCGTCTCCGATCGAACACGTACTCCTCGGACGTTATCTCCTCCCAATTGTGAGACACTTCCTCAGCAAGCGAGATATCTACTACCTGCTTGATTTTGATTAGGGATTCACGCACATGATCGAAGTCCTCTGGCGACATCTCTTCCAGTATTTGCAGCATTTTGCCACGGAATACCTCAATTCGTTCGTCCACGTGAGCTGCGCTGAACTTCGTTTCCTGTGAATTGACCGCGATGGAGTAGCCAATTATGCCGTAGTTCATACGCACCGAAGCAGATACATAGTACCCCAGCTGTTCCTTTGTACGGAGCGTATCAAATAATGGCTCCTCGACGAACATCATCAGCAAATCCAAAATGCTCTCGATCCGTAGAGAACACGGGCCAATTTGGTAGAAATTGCAAATAACAGTATTTACGTCCTTCTCATTGAGAGTGCCGCAGCGAATAAAGTGAGAACCTTGTGGCAACTGGACGGTACGATTCTCGATGTACTTTGTCTGAAAAATTAAAATTGAATGACAACTTAAAGAGTTTTTGAAGTGCTTCAGCTTCTATGTCATAATACCTCTTTGATGTTCCGACAATTGAGTGTAGTTAAGACAGAGTTCATGACATTGTGTGCGGACTCCTCCGTTAAATTGCCCTGCATGAGAGTCTGTAGATAGAGTTCACTCGTGTAGGCATCGGCGAAATTTAACACATCGTTCAATGTTAGGCTATCTAAACACTTGTATTTAGTTATCATGGGCCAGCGGATGTGTTCCACAATGCTTAGTCGTATGTCCCTTGAATTGAAAGTGTATATATATAGTTATATGTCATATAGTTAAAATTTCGAAGTTGATGTACTTATTAAGAGTCCGAGGTTTAATGAGCGAATTGAAGTAGGCTTTCTTCTGGTCTGTTTTGAATATATTGAACAAATCTTCCGTTATGTGATCACGCATTGACACCATAGCTTTCGTTATGATGCCCACCAACAAATGCAATTTTTCATTGTATCCATTCACCTTATTGTTTTTAATAGGTTCTTATTAAATGAAGCTAGACAAAATTTTGTCAGAGTTTGTAATACCTTTAGAATAATTCCTTTCTCGGCAGTGTAAAACTGATAGGAAAGTCCTGCAACTGTAGCTGGGTACAGTTCCTCACTCAACCTAAATTTTACCAGCTTCTCATAAAGTACACACAAAGCATCGCTGTAGGATTTACCATATAATTTCAGTTAATTTAAGTAAGGCAGAATTTCTAAATATTTGTGGTACTTGCTTTTTGGGATCCATTCGCAATAGCGGTGATATGAAATAAAAGTACATATATGCCTCGGGCAGCAAGAACTTGTCGTCCTGTCTGAACCACAATTCGCAAATATCCGTTTGGAGTATCTTCTTCGGGGCCGTTGGGATCTCTGGTTTGCCATTTTCATCCCAGTGCAAGCGGAAGTCATTTGAGATAAAACGATTTGGCTTTGGCAAGAACAAGTCAGGTATCGGTTCTGATTTATCCCAAAGGTCACGCCACTTTTGTGGCATTTTAATTGTCGTATAATCAGTACCGAACCACTTTTCCTTTTTGTCATATGCGACTCCCTCATATTTGTGTTGCGAAGTGATCATTATATTGAACCTGAACTCGTTTAAATGCTTCACCACCTCTTTAATATGCTCTTCGTTGTACTCGTAATATAACTCAGTTCCAGTGAGAATATCCTTTGGTGGATAATATTTCAGTTGTACTGCCAATTTCTCGACATTGTCCAGAGCCGGGCGCTGAGATTCGAATCTAAAGTTAGTTGCCTCAATTTTTTGTAACTCGGTGTACGCATCTTTGAATGGACCACAAACGGCAAACAGTTTTATGAAGGCAAAACATGCAGCAAGTACCTAAAAACGAAATTATGTACATCATGCCATGGGATAACGTATGCTTGTACCTCATCGAGATGCTGAAAACCACGATCAGTTAAGAATATGCCGATAACAAATGAAGAGTAAATCGAATTTGATTCGAAACCACTCTCATCAATGCCCGCAGTCAGTTCTAATCCCCATAAACGTTTTCTCAAATAGGCACACAAACTGCCCTCCCCTTCGAATCCTACCAAATGTGAGATAAACTGATCTGGTTTTGTTTTATAGAACTGAAACGAAATAAAACAATTATTAAAATGTTTAATTAAATGTACCCATTAGTTCAAAATGTTTGTACCAAACCTTAATCATTGACGGCAGTACCCATGTAAGCTCCAGTTTGCATATATTTTCCACGGGTTTAACAAAAAATACTTCTTCGAAAAACTCGTTACGGAAAGCGTTGCGGTAGTCGTACGGCGACAGGTTAATACCTGGAAGATCGTTGCTTGGAATGCCCGAGAAGTGTTTCACAACCATTTGCTCCAGTTCGTCAATTGGCAAGCGAGCTTGAACACAAACACACATACGGTGTGCACTGTAGTGCCGCTTCTGGAATTCATGCAGTTTTGCATGCAGCTCGTCATCACTAATGCCATCCTTGAGAGTTTTTAGATTGCCCCATGGAAATGTGGCGTGCGGATAGCCGGGTGTGGCATATGCTGCCACAAGCTGATCCCGCCTGACTTCATCATCGAGTACGATTTGTTGAAACTCCGATTCAACAGAATCTCGTTCACGCGTCATGGCTTCTTTTTTCATAAGCGGTGCTTTCAGTAAGGCCGAGAAGTAGTCCATACTGCTATCTAAATGCTCTTCAGATACTTCAAAGTAGAAGCAAGTCTCTTCGAACTCTGTGTGAGCATTGTCAAACCCGCCGCATTTTTTTATATGTGCATCGAATGCATTTTCCGCTGGGTATTTATCGGAGCCCATAAAAATCATATGCTCCAGGAAATGTGCTAAACCTTGATATTCTGCAGGTTCCGTAAACGATCCGACATCTACCAGCAATGCACAGGCTGCCAACTTTTCATCACCTGCAATACTCATTGAATTTAAATTTGAAACGATGTTCTGTATTGGATGACTTACCTTCTTCTGACTCCAAATCGGAATCACTTTCACCATTGTCCGTTGTGGAAGTGCTCATGGACTCTTCATCTTCGCTGCTGGTGCTACTACTCTCTTCGGCGCAGGAATCTCCAGTCGAATCATAAGAGGAAGATGAAGACGAAGAGGTCAGACCGCAGTGTGGAATAGGTGTCGGGTCTGACACCAGCAATGCACGTATACCATTGCTCAGTAAGAGTGTTCTGGAAAGTAAACAAACGTTTATAACGCACATCCTTCTTAGCTTTCCAATTGTTTTGGTAACTTACTTGTAATATTTTTTGTCACTTTCTGACTTATCAGGAATTTCCAAGTATGTCACGGTTGATTCTGTATTCACCATGTCTGTTGCAGAACAATTTCTAAAATATCCAGGGCGCGTAGGTGCTGGGCTACGGGGAATCAAACTGCCCTTCAGAAGCCTATTGAAACTCTTTGATAATGGTGTGGCCTGTTGTGAAGGCTTACAACAATATGTAAATTTTACGCGACGTTGGAAAGATGCCCCTGCTGTTAAAAATTTTCGAATAAACATAAACTTTTTAACCTCACTGTGTTGGAACTATCGAGGATTTCACGCTCAAAAATATTACCTGTTTACTTTTGCGGCTAATGGTTTTAATTTTGTTACAATTTTTTTTATAAAAATTTAAAATGTCTGAAACGTAATTACAATTTATTGGATTTTTTCTTAACCAAATTTGCCGCAACCTCCATTGAAAAATGAAAGCAAAGTGGCCAAAAATAAAATCATACACTAATGAGTTTTTCTTGTCTGTTTACTTTGACGTTTAGTCCAGTTCACAATTTCCACACGGGCATTGTTGTGAATGAATGAAAGCAAATGTCAGTTGGAAGCTTTGTTTCTTAACAGGTAATTATTACTAATTTCTGCTGGAAAGCGTTTCTTAATCAAAAAACTAGCAGCTCTCGTTCTTACGCTATGCTTTTCTAGGCTCTCCTGCTAATTTCTAGCTGCTGTCAAAATAAATAAAAAATAGGTTTGTATAGTAACTTCTCCAGTAAAAGATTGCAGCGAGAGCGTAAAATTGAGAAGAGGAAAAAAACTAGCAGAAAAAGATATTGAACACAAAACTAGTAAAAACGTGCAATTGAATAGTTGTTGCACTGTTTTGATATTCTGCTGTAAACATTTTACTATTTATTAATCAGTTTTTAACTCTTTGCTTTAAAAACAAGCACTTACACAGTCCAGTACATCATTAATATTTTGATTTCCATTGATTTTACTTTTGTATATGCGTTGGCGTCGCTTCAGGGTTATAAACCCTAAGCATGGCCAGAGGCCGCCTACGAAGAATGAACTTTTTCAATAGAAGCCTCTGGGGTCTGGGGTCCTCGCGTTTGTGTAGAAGAAATATCATATATCCTTGGCGGCACCACTCTTGTCCGGCAACACGGAAAGCTCAAGTAATTGCCTTTACTTACTCGAAACAGGCGAACACGCAAGTAAAAATTGTGATTTTTTTCCAATTTTTTTAAGGGCTCCCTAGGGACCTATAAGTGGCCTTGGCAGTTGGGATTTACATTTTTCAAAATAGCAGTTCATGTCCTCTCTAAAATGGGGTGTGGGAGGTGCGTTTATGCACATTTACCAAATGCACATTTACGCGAATTCGAAGTTGTATGCTTTTGACGAGCAGCCGCGTTCCAGTCGCTTATTCAGATCTGTATCTAGCACGGAGAGGAAATTATGCTAAAAAACCTACTAAAAAACTAAAAAAAAAATTTAACTACAAATTTAATACAAAAGCTTGAACTGTTCTATCCATAACCAAAAATTTGCTTGAGTAATATAATAATTTGTCGGTGTTATCAATAAAAATTGCCTAAAGTAATTATGAAACTAAACAAACATAGTTGAGCACGAATTGGGCCAGATTTCTACCAGCAGAACATTGATGTTGGATTAGCGGGTCTTTTTTTTTATCAAAACAATGTAAAATAACAAATGAAATCTCCATCGCCGATCACTGAAACGCAGCTAGCAAAGCTTACGCGAAAAATCAATGCTGCTACTTCTCATTAAACCATGTTCGAATTCATGAACCAAAAATACAAGATCACGTAAGAACGCGACGTTGTATTTGTAACTGGTTTTGAGAAAAAAGTTTGCGAAAGCGGGTTCGTCAGCTGAGCGTTTGTTTACATCCCAAGCACCACTATTTTACACTTTTATTCAAGTAAAGAAGAGTTAATTCAACATGACAACACATTTTAAAGCATTTTGTTGCATCATTTTACCTAAATTGTGCGTTTAAAGTGGCTGACAATAATTTTGGCTAATTTTGGTTTTCGTTGTTTTCTTTGCTTTGTTTACTTTTCGCTCGTTTTCCAGTGAAACAAGATGGCGTAGAACCCGCTAAAAAAAATCGACTTTTTTCACTCTCTTGTTCTTACGTGATCTTGTGTCTTTCGTTCATGTTATGATCTAATTGGTTCATGGAATTGTGTTATTTTTCAGAGATCACAGGGTTGCTTTTAGCATATAAATTCTTAATGCAAGAATGGAGTTGCAATTAGGTGACGAAATTTGAATGGACAAATGTACATTTAAAGGAGCATTTAGAGCTAAATGCGCTAAATATGCATTTACGCGTAAGCGAAAACAGCACATAACTTAACTTATACCGTGATAGCGGCTTTGTATACCTGCGCTCGCACTCAAGGCTCGTTGTTCACTTCGAGTTGCCGCAGTATTCGGCACAATATTGAAATTTTCGATAGGAAACGTATCGAAATTAAGAAACAAATTATAATTTAAAACTTTAAACAATATAATGATAATAATATACAATTGTAATGCACTTCGGATGCAATATAAAAAAAAAATCGTTATAAAAACTGAATTGGCATATTTTCTTCATGAAGAGGAGTGAACTCCATTCAATTTCCCGATGTAATAAAAGTTGGTCAATTTTTTACCATTTGGTCCATTTTTAGGTCCGAAAAATAAATTGGAAAAGGCAACCGTGCCCATGAGCTAGGTAAAATTCTGACGTTTGTATTCACCACGAAAAATGTAAAATTTTTACTTTGATCTGTCAAAATTTCCTCTTCTATTAATTGGCACAGGCCCTTACAATAAGGATTAGTAAGGAAAATGTGAGAGGACGGTGATTTTTGTAGAAGTATTAGTGAATTTCAGTACATTATAGAACCCGCTAAAAAATCGACTCAACTCCCTTGTTCTTGCGCGATCTTGTGTCGTTCGTCCATGGGAAAGAGTCATGAACCAAAAATCACGAGTTTCGTTTTCCCCGAACCGGTTCACTTTTAATTTTTGTTTTCCGTGTATTTACTATGGGCGGATTTAAAATTTTCAGGTGATTTTTTTTTCGGTTCAATTTCAAGATACGGCAGAATAGCTTTTTGTTTTCTTTCCTTCTCGCGTGATATTGTGTCTTTCGTTTATGGGAAAGAGTAGCAGTAACAGCTGATTTTAGTCGTGTTTAATGAGCTGCTCTAGGTTACGCCAGGTTAAGATATCTCACAAAATTGTGTTTCATGAGGGTATTTCCTGCTTTAACTTGCTCTTCTTTCTGTTTCATGAGCCTGCGCTAAGTGTAACTGGAGCCACTTAGAGCACGATTTTTTGCCCCAGCTTTTTTGATGCAATAACTTAGAGCACGATTTTCTGCACCAGCTTTTTTGATGGAGTAACTTAGAACAATCAACTGTTTTGAGAATTTCTGCCTGAAAAGTGTTGCATGAGATTTCTTATCTGAGTTGCTTTAACTTGATCAATTTTTTTTTCTCTGTTTCTTTTCGATTTCGATTTTAATAAACAGTACTTTTAAAAACGACACTGCCACTGCGCTCTTGTAGTTTGGGCTTTACGCAGAAATGCTGAATGCAATGCCACCCTGCAGGACCGATTTTAGGAATGTCATCCAAAGCATAAAAGCAAAAGAATTTCGGAAACAGTGGGTAAAGGAAAAAAAGTAAATTTAAGGTCTGCCGTTTAGTGAAAATTATAAAAATTGTTCAGAAAAGCGATATTATATATAGAAATGTACTGTCAATAATGAGGCGTTTACCAGACGTGAAAGCAACAAAAAATTAAATATAGATTTCTCGGCACCATATGAAATGCCATAATGTTGACGATGACACCATACGAATAAAGAAAACAATCCATTTTACGCGACGGTAAGTTCTATCATTACTTATCTCATACAAAGCAGAGGCTAGCGACAAAAAACAGCGAACCAAATAGATTTAACCTAAAGTACAGTCGCTGACGCAGAGGGCGGACGCAGTAATTGTGCGGCAGTTTGCAACACGCCCGCCCACTAAGCACCTCAATACCGTAGCGATACAACGGAAACCACCAACACAACAGAACAACCACAAGTAATAAGGCAACAATATTTAATATACCAAGCATTAATATTCAAACAACGCACATATTTACACATTGGATGTGAGGACGGTGACATTAGCCAGAGGAAGAGTGATAATAATAACAATCGTACAATAAGTAATTAACACAAAATATGGCTAGCATATCCGACCGGAAACGAAATACGTTTTTAAGTTACGTTGCACCCTCTCCGGGAGATGTAAGTACCATGAATTTGTAACACTAGAAATGGTTACGGGGCTTAAGGCGAACGAAATTCATTACTGGCAGGCCTATCACAGATTCCGAGTGAACTCCCGTCGTAAAAAAATCTCCCGTCATGAATTAGGGAGAATGGCTATCAGCAATTCCGACTTATTTGTAGTTACTGCTGCCTTTGGTTTTTGTTTTGGTTTAATAATTCTGAAGCAAAATAAAATAACACGAAATCAGTGATACCAATCTCACGAATTTGGAATATGCGGGAGTTTTTCGTGATCACGACGGAATTCATAATAGCAATTTCCCGACGTTGTCCGACGGAATTGATGATAGGCCTGTAGGTCTTGCATTGACATCACTTTTCCGTCAAAATCATAAATCCCGCTTAATTATATATTTTTTCTATTTAATAGATTCCTAGACAAGAGGGCAGCGATGATTGGCTTCCAACAGAGCTGCGTGACCTTCATTTAGCTAAACCGCGTTTGTTACCCAATGAACTTGTTGTAGCATCAGCACCTGCATACCTTTTTTCTGCGATAATGCCTGCGCCTACTGAGGGCAGTGAACTCGATATGTCGCGACAAGCGGTATTTGGCTTGCTAAGTGTCACGAATTTTAAAATGGCATTTGTCCCCCTACAGCGCCAACAGCAAGAAACTCTTCCACAGGAATCATACCAGGAACACTTATATCTCCAACGCAACGATGTGACACTCAATAATATTGACTACGTTTACCAGTTAGCGGAGGGTGGTAGAGTAAGCGTACGAGCACTCAGCGGCGGTAACAAACGCAAAAAACTCGACGCACAGCAAAAAGTAATGAGTAGCCGCATCACAGCACTTCATATTATTTGCAAGAACTTTCGACTCCTCAAATTCGCCTTCCAGCAGTCGAGGTCTGGTTCTGATTATGGTAAACTTATTGCTTCGGCGCTGGCGCGATTCGCCTATCCATCACGCCATGATCTGAGTTTCGCATACTGTTACCGTGAGCCATATTATTCCATGTTGGGCAAATCTAGCGTGACCATGTACAGCACAAAAAACGATTGGGCACGAGAATTAATTCGATGTGGGGCCAATGAGTGGCAGGTTGTGAGTGCCGAAAATGTGCCCCAATTGCAAAATTTATTACAAGCACCAAAGTATACGCTGCCTCCTCACTTTGTCATCCCTAAATGCTGCACAGTTGACAGATTTCTAGACCTATCCCGAGCATTCTACGACTCACGGGCGGCTTTTTGGGTATTTGGTTATGGTAACGCATCGTTAGTCCGTTTGGCCGAATTGAAGCCTGCGATGCAGCAAGACACTAAAGTCGAGAACGTGACACTTGAGTTGGTAAGAAAATGTGATGAACGACGCACACTTAAACTGCTGCAGTTGACAGATCGTCTTCCTAGTATCCAAGATGTGCAAAGAGCATATCTGAAGTTTCGACGCCTATGTACGCCCGAAAGTCCGCAAGAGTTTCTAATGCAAGATTCCAAATTTTTAACAAATTTAGAGAAGTCGAATTGGATTTTTTATGTGTCACTGTGCCTGAGATACTCATGTGAGGCTGCTGAATCACTGCGATCAGGAACGACATGCGTATTGCAGGAGACCAATGGCAGAGATTTGTGCTGTGTTGTGTCAAGCCTGACCCAAATAATATTAGATCCCTTATATCGGACAATTGATGGATTCCAATCACTGGTGCAAAAGGAGTGGATCGCATTGGAGCATCCCTTTCAGACCCGATTGGGTCACGTTCGTGGGGATGCCGCGGAAGAGGAGGAAAGTCCCGTCTTTTTGCTGTTTTTAGACTGCGTGTGGCAACTGCTGCAACAGTATCCAGACGAATTTGAGTACAGCCAAACGTATCTAACGACCCTGTGGGACGCGTGCTTTCTGCCTATTTTTGACACGTTTCAATTCGATACAGAAGCAGATCGGGCGCGTGCCGTGCGAATTGGTAATCTGGTGTTGCGTCCTGTTTGGGATTGGGGAGAGCAGTTTGCGGAGAAGGACAAAGTTTTCTTTACAAACCCTTTCTATCAACGCCAGCGCCAGGAGCAACACAACCGTCGTTCGATAGCGATACCGGCGGGTGCTATAATGCTACCGGGACTCGCACAAATACCATCAATTAGACAGGGACAGCAGCAACGTTTTACCACAATTAATCCGCAATTGTTTGTGACCTCGTCCACTATACCAAAGGATCGTTACTTGGAGCCACAACACAGCATGGCCGATTTGGCAATATGGGAACAGTGTTACTATCGATGGATGCCTATTCTGGAAATCAAACACGGTGGATTTCCACAGATTGATCTAAATCATCGTCTCCTTTTAAGCAACATCGCTAAGTTACAACGTTGCTTAGAACTTCAGGACTTTGATGATCTGCCAGACATTTACTACGAACGCACTGGTGAAAAGCGGCCACCCGTAGATAACGCTGTTAAAAGACGCAACAGCATTGAAATGATCGATGGCGTGGAACGGCGTCGAAAGACTTCTCTGCCGGCCACATTGAATGGAGTGAACAGCAGTGTGTTGCTGCCAGAAATTTCCTCATTTTTCCCTTTCAGTATAAATACCGGTGAATCCGAGCAATTGATCGATATTCTTACGAATAGCAATGAATTCCTGTTGGAAGGCTCATTTATGGAACGGTTGTCAATCGCATAGCGTAAAAAGCGGGATAACTATGAATCTGAAGCAGCTGAAATGGATTAGAATAACAAGCGAAACTCGAAAGTGCCAGTTGGTTTTTTTTTGTTCATTACAAACGTGAAACGCCTTTAATTTCGAAACTCGTTGGAGACAATTCGCTAAATTCCATAATTGAAGAATTTTTTTTTTTAAATTTACTTCACCTTATACGGGAACGTTGTAGTATTATTAATATCTTTTGCTATTTTAATTTTCAAATGAGATATTTGAGTTTTTATTTAGAAAAAAATGAATAGGAATATAATTTAATACAGACTGTAAATTATAATTTCACTAAAATTTATTTAAATAATGACCGTTGTGTTAACAAAAAACCATTCTTATTCAGTACATACATACATAGTTTTTTATATTATTTGCAAACTTTTGTGCATTTAATAGTTGCGTTGGAAATTATAAGTTTCCTAAAGCAGTGTTTTATATGGTTTTGGTTGTGACCGATATAAAACAACGATTTCAGCCAACTACTAAAATAATAATCAAAGGTATTCGCCGGAATGTCGTTACATTGTAACAGTGTCTCTAAGTAAAAACCAACTACATTTGTTAGCAATACTAAAATATTTATTATATTTTATTAAACACATATATTCTATGCATACACGAATATCTATAACCGAAGTATAAGTAAATGAATATGTTTAAAATGCATTCAATGTATTGATATAAAAGCGATAATAAAGTGAAGTTAAACTAAATTTTTAATATTAAGTACCTTTTGGCGAACTTGCATTTGTTCTAATCAAAATCCACTAGCTAGTAATCATTAAATGATTTTACAAACTCTTAGAGGTATGTACATCCCTGGATTTTCTCGCCATCTCAAAATAACGGCTTTTGTAATTTCCGGTGCAAAACTTCGTGCGAGTTAGCACCGTATTTCAATTGGACGTATTACAAATCTAAGCTTTATTTCTGTTTGCGTAGAAATGGCACCTCGTGGAAGAAGAAATCGCCCATCTTCAGAGCAGTTGCACCATCGTGCTGCTTACGCCATTGCTATCATTATCGCCAATATGTTATTAGGTGAACATCGACAACACTGCATGCGATTACTGCAGATTCATAACCCCATTCAGGCATACGTGAAGATATTGGAGCTTCTCGCTTTAGCCGAATTTAATCATAGCCAGAGCACGTGCAGAGCCGAAAACAACCAAATTGAATAATAAAATAAATAAATTTCTTTAGTTTTTTATTTTTTAGGTAAGGAATATCAAGTTATGGATTAAGAATTGGATATTTGAGGCTAACAAAACATTGCAATAATTTTCCCTATGACTAATATATTACAATATTATATTCTTTACTTATTTTCTGTACTACTGCCTTTTGTTTCATTTTTGTCTAGATTTTTTGATTCCGTCAGTAAAAGTGATTCTATTCCAACTTTCTTCAACTCTTCTATCAAATCGCCACTTTGATGCATTTGCAATAAAATATCGCAACCGCCAACGAATTCTCCATTAATATAGACCTGGGGGATAGTAGGCCAATCGGAAAATTCTTTTATACCTGAAAATGAAATTTGATTAATATGAATACCGGAAATGCTTTATTTTAAGCCTTACTTTGGCGCAACTCGTCGCTTTGCAGCACATCGTGAGCATCATACTGAACACCATGCATGCGCAGTACTTGCACCACCGCATTGCTGAAGCCGCATTTGGGTGCTTCCGGGTTACCTTTCATGAAGATGACAACCTTATTGGTATTTACAAGCTGTTTCAGGGAGTCTTTGTTGAAGGTTGTCTTGCCAGAAGCTGTAGACGCGTTTTCGTAGCGTTTAAGCAGAGGTACGCGGTGCGCAATAATGCTCTGTCGAAAAAGTTGGCGTAGTATCAATCTTCCGGACATTTTCAAATATCAACTTTTATTTGCTTTAAAATTTTGTTAAATAACACGAATTTCGATTACTTTTTCATCTCTTCGCCGATTTGACAATCAGCTGATCGATTATCACATATGCTTTTGATATGTTTTGCTCTTTTTTTTAAGTTATTTTTAAGTTTGCCACATTTTTCAAAATTGTAATTTTGTAAATACATAATTTTGTGCTTATCATAGCTTTTCATTAGAAAGTCTCAGCTTTAATAAATATAATTAACAATTTCAATATAAAAGGGACGGTGTTATCACACACACACGCTGCGAATGGTTTGTGTAAACTTCCGTTTAAAACTTTTTATAAACCAACATGTGGCAAAGCAAGAGAATTGCCAAAAATTGCAGTCCAGTGGCACCTTTGTTGTGGCATTTTGCGCCGTCTTTGTGAAATTGGTTTGTTTTATTAAAAAAACGAGAAGAGGTTTTCAACGAAAATATGGCGTCCACTAGTTCTGGGTCAACTCCATCATCTATTTCCGTAGAACAAGAGCCCGTATCAGCACCGATTTGTATGATTGTGCTCGGCATGGCTGGCTCTGGAAAGACAACATTCGTGCAGAAGCTCACACAGCTCTCATTTAATCATTTCAAGCCATATGTGATAAACCTCGATCCCGCGTGTCGGGAAACTCCTTACCATGCTAATATTGACATTAGGGACACGGTTAATTATAAAGAGGTCATGAAACAGTATAAGCTTGGACCAAACGGTGGAATAGTAACGTCTTTGAATTTGTTTGCTACGAAGTTTGAGAAGGTGGTTGAGTTAATCAGGCGCGCTGGACAACAGGGTCACAAGTGGTGTATACTGGATACTCCAGGACAAATTGAGGTGTTTACCTGGTCCGCCTCTGGTACCATAATAACTGAAGCATTAGCAACTATTTTTCCAACAGTTGTGGTCTATGTGATGGATGTTGTCCGTTCTATCAGCCCAACAACATTTATGTCCAACATGCTGTACGCATGTTCCATATTATATAAATCACGTTTACCTTTTATCGTAGCACTTAATAAGGTGAGTCAAGTTAAAAAAAAAATTTAAATTGCATTGCATGATTGGTTTCTTTTATAGATCGACGTTCAAGATCACGATTTCGCGGTTGAGTGGATGACGGACTTTGAGGCTTTTCAGGAGGCGCTGGAGAAAGAACAAAATTATATAAGCAATTTGACGCGAACCATGTCACTGACGCTCGATGAGTTTTATAGGAATCTGCGGACTTGTGGAGTATCGTCAAAAACAGGCATTGGATTTGATCGCTTTTATGGTTTAGTAGCAGAATGTGCTAAGGAATACGAAAGGTAATACTAATTATTTTTTAGTTATTACGTTTATCTTAAAATATCACTTATTAAAACTATTGTAGCGATTATAAAGCGGAGTACAATAAATTACGAGAAGCAAAATTAAAAGAAGAAACACGAAGAAAGGAAGAGGAATTAGCAGCGATTGCGAAGAGCAAGGGCGAGGGAACCGAAGTGCCATTGGGTGGTTTTGTGGAGGAGGTAGATTAAATGTTAAAAAATTTAATGTGCATTTTATTAACCTTGTCTTATTGTAGGTTCCCGTTGGTCGTGAACTGACCGATATTTACTTGAAGCATCCGGGAAATGAAAGTTCCGAAGACGAAGAAGGGCAAGAAGAGGAAGCACCAACATTTAACGAAGACCACATAGAGGAACAAAATTTCAATCAGTTTGTAAAAAAGCACACAGACGCTCAAAAGGATAAAATAAACAAAAGTGAAATATAAAACATAAACAGGTAGGTTCTGCAATTCACTACCGAGTGAATTTCAACCCCGGCCAATTTGAATTCAAAGCGCATTTTATTGAAATTCACTCGGAAGTGAATTGCAAAACATGTCTGAATAGCTCTGTTCCCGTATAGTCAGAAATATAGGAAAAGCTGCTTCGTTCTTAATAAATCTTTTATGAGGTGGCGTACCAAACACATTTTGGTGTAAATTCTGCAAAATTTGTAAATATCACGTATGCGGAGCTAACTAGACTACTAAAATTTAAATGAAAATTACGGACTGTTTTGCACCCTTAGGTTTCCGGTTACAATTTCTGACTAAATCCTGGAGTACTGGAAGATACTACTTGTATTTCGATGGCTGAGTGGAAGATCGTCCAATCTAGATAGCCAGTTCGAAAACGCCCTATCTCAGAATTTGGTTGAAGAACGCTTATCTCAGAATTCGGTTCAAAAACACACTATGTCAAACGAAAATACATTGAAATTGTGCCGATAGGGCGTTTTTGAATCGGCACCTGAGATAGGGTGTTTTTCAACCGAATTCTAAAATAGGGCGCGATAATTTCGATATTTTTTATCACCCAATAACTTTCGTTTTGGCCTCGACGTCAAATTCCTTGAGCTTTTCGCAAATATATCGTTTTTGTTGGAAAAATTATAAATGTCAGTTCTATTTAGAAAAAAACGAGAAAAATGGAGATTTTCTTTTCCAAATGCGTTCCATTCAAAAAGCTCTGGAGCGATTTTCGAAAAAGCTGTTGTGGGTCCAGTTAACGTTCTCTGCTGGGTCTATAGAGCATTTCTGCAGCTATCTTATGAAGACCTAAAAATGTTTCTACAGCAAATCTTTATATACAGTTTTTGGGCTGAAAGAAAGACTTGAGGCGCAATTTTTCTCATTTTCTTCTATAAAATCTGTATTAAACATTTTTTACAAAATGTGCCCGAACATTGTTGATCTGGAAGAAATGGTTGAAAGTTGCGCACAAAAATTCAGAAAAATGTGAAAAGTGAGTCGTGGCTGCTGGGAGTTGGGCGATATTTGGATTGTAAAACGGTCGTACGACCGGTGTATTTTTGTCTTAAAAGCTTCAAGCGCGAATATCTCATAAAGTTTTTGTACAATTTTTTATAAAAAATTGTGGGTCTATAGGGCATGCCTGCAGCTATCTTTTGAAGACATAAAAATGTTTCTACAGCAAATCTTTATATACATTTTTTGAGCTGAAAGAAAGACTTAACGCGCGATTTTTCACATTTTTTTCTATAAAATCTGTATTAAACATTTTTTACAAAATGTGCCCGAAAATTGTTGATCTGGAAGAAATTTCTGGCTGTAGTAAACCTACCCGATGGTTGAAAGTTGCGCACAAAAATTCAGAAAAATGTTAAAGGTGAGTCCTGCCTGCTGGGAGTTGGGCGATATTTGGATTGTAAAAAGGTCGTACGACCGGTGTATTTTTGTCTTAAAAGCTTCAAGCGCGAATTTCTCATACAGTTTTTGTACAATTTTTTATAAAAAGTTGTGGGTCTATAGTGCAAAAATTTTCCACCCACTTATTCACCATTCATACACGTGTGCAATGTGCAAAATTGGGAAAGCGTAACTGTAAGAAATCAGCTGCATGCTTGCATTCACCCACAAGCTTTGGGTATTTCGCATTCGATTGTTTATTTCAAAAGTGAATTCGTGCGATGATGGCAAACTGCAAGATGCTCCCGCGAGTTTCGCGCCGCTTGGTCGCCTTTGATTTCGACTGCACAGTGGTTGACGACAATACAGACACAGTGGTGCGGGACCTGCTGCCAGCCGATAAGTTCCCCAGCGACACCATCATACACAAGCAAGGATGGCAAGAGTACATGGCTGAGGTATTCCGACGCTTGCATAAGCTATGCTACTCGCCGCAATCGATACGCGAAAAGATACGCTGCATACCGGAGGTACCTGGATTCGTGCGGCTGCTTAAACGGCTGCACCAAGCGCCTGAGAAAAAATATGACCTTATCATCATCAGTGACTCGAACACCATCTTCATAACTGAATGGCTGGAGGCACATGGCCTGGCAAACTGCTTCGAGAGCATATTCACAAACCCAGCGCACTTTGACAGCGACGGCTTGCTGCATGTACGACCCTACCACCATCAGACGGAGTGCAAACTGAGCGCTGCCAATCTATGCAAAGGCATGATCTTGGAACACTATGTGGCAAAGCGAAATCTGCGCGATAATACGCATTATGAGCGCATCATCTATGTTGGGGATGGCCACAACGACTTGTACCCGATACTAAAATTGCGTCACGGCGACATAGCCTGTCCACGGCGTGACTTTGCGCTGCATAAAAAGATAACGACACATCGAGATAAAATGGATATACGTGCGGATGTAGTAAATTGGAAAAGTGGTTTTGAATTACTGAAACAATTGGCAGAACGAGATACCGCATTGACAGATGGGGATGGTACAGAGGCGAGGGCTGAATCTACTAAAAAGCCGTTAGAGTAAATTGGCGACATTAAACATTTTTAAACACACTGAACTAAGTAGGTAATCGCACTACTAAACAAGTATCATGGTGTAGCTGCTACTCGTATCTGGTAATTGTTATTATTGTTATCACTAACTCAATATTTCCCATAGGTGTAAATTAAAATTGGTAACGACTTGTGAAAGAAGTTTTAGGTGTGGGGTACATAACGTATAGTATGTATGTATATTTGTAATGCTAGCAACAAAAGAAAAAATTATTATATCCACTTGCTGGACGTGCATTGCACGCCGTGTGTGCTAATTGATAACACTATACTCTATTCAGACGTGAAAGCAAATAGATATATTTTTTAGACGTTTTAGAGGTTAATTAAAACTGCATCTTTGCAGCTAATAAAATACGTGCATGTGTGTGAAAATAAGCGGAAAATTTTCATTTATACTTTGATTATTTACTACGTAGATGACGTCAATTTTTATCTCTTATATGGAAAAATCCCAGACAGACTTCTCTAATTTGTAAACTTAAGCTCCAAATATAAACAGGTCTCGGCTGAAATGGTTTGTTCGCCCACAAGTCCTGGGAGGACGGGAATATTGTGCTTGCTCATTGACGGAAGGCCGAATTCATCTGCCAGGTAAAATACCGGGCACCCATAAGCGCGAAGGAGGTCGCGAAGGAGAACAAAGGATGTAGCGAAGGTAAACAAACGATCTTTTTGCGCGGTAAGAAAAAGGTAAAAAGAAGTAATATGCAGGGGTGCTTTCTCGATGGACATAAATTGCACCTATTTGCACATTCTTCATTGCTACCCAAATTAATGAAAAGTGTTATTATTAATGATAAATTAGTTTTTAACATCAGAAAAATTGAACTTAGCAAACATTTTATATTGCAAAGTCAAGTACAAGCCGAATTATTGATAAGGTGTTGGGGCGACAGCCTTGATCAAATAGAGTTTCTCAAAGCTGCCATGTAAGTCTGGCAACACTTCCCATGGAAAAGTCGACACCGCAACCCTGGTCCGGGGAGAACGACGAAAGGACAAAAATTACGCCACGTTTTTTTTTGTTCCCTACTTCTGAATGGCTTGCCGGCGATTCTGACCGCCTGGTGTTTCAGCTGGTTTTGTTTGATAAGAAAAAATGCCGAGCGACGCCAAACAAATTATTTTTCTAGCACAAAAAATACTAGGCGCCCAAAAGTGAGAGGTAGGCGACAGAACTATTATGTTCGATTGGCGTTTCAGCGTTTTAAGCCAACGCAAAAATATTAGGCGCCCAGAATTGCAGAGAATGTCGACGAACAGGGCGGCAAACGGCAAGGATGATTATTTGCGCGGGCGAAGAATAACGCGAGCACAACAAAATAAGAACTGAAAACGAGAGAATTTTCTGATCGGCAGCTTACTTACCGCTTATGGGCGCTTGTTATTTCAGATGGTTTTGCTCGATGCACATTGCCGAAAAAAATTTAGGGCGATCGATCGCGTAAGACTCGCTCGCATACGCGACTACTGCAGGGTTAATAGGGTTGTCATATTGTTTGTTGAAAACAAATGTTTCTAGATTTAGGTATTTATTCAAAGGTATTTCATTTGAAAGAAATTTGAAGTTGCCATGAGAATAAATAATGAAAGTTATGGCATTAAAGAATATTTTTGTCTTTTCTGGCCGTAGTAAACTTACCCGATGGTTGAAAGTTGCGCACAAAAATTCAGAAAAATGTGAAAAGTGAGTCGTGGCTGCTGGGAGTTGGGCGATATTTGGATTGTAAAAAGGTCGTACGACCGGTGTATTTTTGTCTTAAAAGCTTCAAGCGCGAATTTCTCATAAAGTTTTTTGTACAATTTTTTATAAAAAGTTGTGGGACTATAGAGCATGCATGTGACGATTCGAGCCCTGTCTTTTTCCCATCAATGAGCCAGTGAAGCAGGATTCAAATATTAGCCAAATAAAAGAGCTAAAGCCAATTACGATTTCGGTTTTATATGTTACTCGGTTTGGACTTTATTTACTTCTGTTTGGAATTTGCAGTAGAACTTCAAATGTACATATGTATGTATGTATGTATGTATGTATGTAAATAAATAAGTTTTTTTTTTTTACATAAATATGTATATTTTGGTTTTTTTTAAGAGTTCTTCTACTATATAGCGGCATTGTTGTGTGTACATACATACATATGTATATGATTTGCATAATTTCATGTGAATTACATACATTTTTATAAATACAAGTGTATACATATTTGTAAAAAGCGGCCAACAAAAGTTATACATTTGATTGCTATTACAATTATAATTTGTGTACTACCACTGTTGCTTGCATTGTCAGTTTACATACATATGTATTTACGGTATGTTGTATTGTAGTTAACAATTAGGTAACCATTTGCATTATATAGTTAAATATTCCGATTTCTCTATAGTTTGCAATTTTGCTTTTCTTTATTTTGTCATTTCTTACTAGTTTTGAGTATCAATAACAAGCAGAAACATTCAATATAGACGTACATATGTATGTATGTATATGTGTAACTGTATATGTAAATAATAGTGATTATGATCTTAAGGAAAATATGAATGTACATACATAATAATCATTGCGATTTCTAACTGGCTCTTGTGAGGAATGAGTTTTCGAAAATTATGAATTTCTAAGTTAAATACGGAAATAAAGGAACACGATGTGAATTGATTAAATTTTGTTCTTATTTCATGTTTTTTTTTATATAAAAAATAAAGCTTTAATGCATAGATAGTAACGATAATGCATGCATGCATATTTTACGTATGTATGTATGGATGTATGTATGTATTTGGTATTACAAACATTCAGCACTATATTTTGGCTGAACAGATATTGCAAAAATTTGTTAGTATCGTCGAGATTATCAAAACTTAAAAATAAATAAATAAATAATAAATCAATACGAAATGTTAAAACAATCGAAGGAGCATATTGCACTTAAATGTCTACGCACTACACATATATGTATATCTACGCGTGTACGCATTATTGTGAATATACCAAATACATATGCATGTATCATAATCATGTAGTATGTAGGTATGTATGTATGTGCTCATTTGTGTTTAAGTGTACTTTAATTACGCTTCTCTATTGCTATCACATCGTCTTACAAAAATAGTTTATGATTTTTCTGTTCAACTACTACGATTTGTAATTACCTATAATCTTTGCTTTGTTGCTTCTATTGTGGATCCATTCAGTTCAAAAATTAGATACCTCAACAGCTGTTCAACTGCATACATACATGCGTTAGTAACTCATGAGTACCGTTACAGAGTGTGTGTGGGGTTTCTACAGATTTCTTCCACTACGCTACAATATACGGTTCATTTACAGTATAAATCGTTAGGTGATACAATAAGTACATACATATATAGGTCATACATATATATAAAGCGGGTGTGAGTATTTTGAATTTAAGCAGAGTTGTATACTGATTTTTTTTTTTTTTATTGTTATTACCGATTTTTTTACAAGTGCGATACATTTGTGTGGCTCAAGCGAGTTAAAAAAAAAAATGTGCTTTTATGCCGCATTTAGCTTACTTTTAGACGATTTTGCTCACGTAAAGCAAATCTCGCTGTACTACTTTGAATGCCTATGGCAGATAGCGGACGATTCTTAGTTTTCAATTTATTGTTGCTTTGACTTGCTTACTTACTACATATGTATAAGTACATACATGCGTATGTGTGTGTGTGGATGCATTGATTATAAAATTCGATAATTTTTCGAATTTTCGAGTTTACGTGAACATAGGGCTGGCAAACATATCGATACGATCGACACGATCGTCGATGGTTGAACAACTTTCGACTTTCGACTTACGACAGAAACCACCGTTTCATCTTTTTTCTCCCTTGTCTAGCAATCATTTATTCTATACATATCAAAGCGGTTTTCTTATGAATCCAGAACAGTTTCTCTTCTTGAAAATGAAATCAATTACGATTCGCAAAAAAATAGAACTTTTGCACTATGCGATTCAAAATAGGTGGCATCCCTATAAGAAATATTTTTGAACTAGAGATCTTTTAAATACCTTACATTTGATACCCATATTATGATGTTTTAATTGATTTGCAACTAATTTCGAATAGGTGGCAACCTTATACGAGTCTTCTCGGTGATAATGCCTATTCAGATAAACTTAAAATCCAAAACATTATATGTATACAAAATTTCAAAAGAAAATCGTTAGAGCCGTTTCCAAGAACCCTATGGATATATACATATATACATATATATATATATATATATATACAATAATTGCTCGTTTAATGTAACAAGATTTAAACAACAAGTTTTACGTTCAAAACTACTTACGTATTTTGTGGCAAAGCAAGAGATTGCTTTTATCCCTTAGCCGTCATATCTCAATACGTATGTTATTTTTATCAACCTCCTAATGGGAACTTTCTAAACAAAAAAGTAGTTCGGCTTCCATTTGACTTTCTTTAATATTTGTCGCTTTGAATTTCTTCAAGCGCTAATTAAATAACTACCTATTTTGTTTACAAATAACCAAAAGGCATTAACTTATCAAAATTTCTATTATAATTCGCCGGGAATCTGTGAAAAATTACGATATGTCAGTGAACGTATGCCATAATTCCAATGTTGCCTTGCATACGATCAGTTCCGTAAACTATTTTCATACGATTGCCGATTCGATCACGGAACTCATAACTCAAGCCCTGGGGAAAAAAAGAAATGGTATGAAAATGTGTTCTGAAAGAGGTTATTTAATGAATTTTGGGTAATATTTTTTTTTTAAATTCATTGATCAATTAATTTTCCGAACCTATTTGAAGTAGCGCTTGTTATTAGAGCAAATCTCCAGCTCTCATAAGCTGAATAAAATGTTGAAGGCCTGAAAACCCCCAAACGTTTTTTGTGGAGTGCCACTCTTTAAATGAACCGATACTATCGAAAAACTCTCCAAGGTTTCGGCAATAGTATCGTAAACTATCGATAGCTTGCCAGCCCTACGTGAACAACTTTTGTCCTGTTACATTAAATCATTGTAAGTTATTAAATTGTACATAAAGTATATGTAATTATCTATGTATATTGGATGTTCCTTCAATATACACATATATTGATGTATTGGTAATAAAAATAATATTTACTGTACTTTATAAATTTTACTTAAATGCTATCGAAATCTTTAGTTTCCTTAGCTTTAGAACGAATTTTCCAAATTCAAATGTTTTCTGTTATTTAACTTAGAATTTTACACAGACGTAAAGTACATTTATGTACATATCGTTACCTCTATATAGAAAGGCCTTAACTCATTTTATTTCGAAATTCCGCTTTGTAAAAAAGACGCAAGATTACTCACTAAGGATCAAAACAAAATTTAAAAGTATGTAACTCCTACATCATTAAATAAGTTACAGTGTTTTGAAGAAATTCGACACCGCAGAACTTTGATTTTTATAAATTTTTATAACTACTCCGTAAAGCAATAAAATTGTTAGATAGAGCTTTTCTATATTAAGGTAACGATATGTGCAGACATACATACATATGTACATATGTGCCAAAAGTCTTTAAATTAAAATCAAAACAAACAGTCTTGTTATGCTTTTTTTTGTTTGCAGTGAACATACCGAGCCCTAACCGCCAAAATAACATAAGCGACATTTTTTTCAAAAATTTTTTTTTTGTTGCCGAAATATTCCTAGAGCATCTAGATGCATTTCTGCATCAAAAAGAAACTTTTGAAAAAAATGTCGTTTACGTTATTTTGGCGGTTAAGGCTCGATACAATTTGGGAGCTTAATATTTGAACGTCGATTTGCTTTTATGTATGACAAAACTTCATTTGTTTGGGCAAAAAGTAAATTATTCAATTTGTTTAACAAATATATAAATATGCTCGAACAAACTTATGTATGTATGTATGTTCATAACTAGGTAATACTAATTGGTTTCAATAGTTTAATTTAAAAGTTTCAAATGTGTTTTTTTTTTTTTTGAAGTAATGCTGATTGTGTCCTGTGTGAGCGTTGGTTATATGTGTTGAATATACACACTAACGAATGGATACATATTTACTCTAATCGAATTTCATGTGACTTATTATTATACCTCCCATCCCAGCTCAGACCAGGCAAAGAACTTGGTTCAAGACTGCAAAGTATAAGCTGTTTAAACTCTTATTGGTGGCTAGTCGTCACGCAAACAGCAGCGGATCCCAATATGTATGTAGATAGTACGTACATACATATTTAAACCCCATGTGCATCGCGCACGAACGTTATTAATGAAAACGTGGGCAATTGTTGAGGGTGCTTAGTTAGGTGGCTCCGTTTCATTTTCTTTCCATGCTGGCCACACACACACTCATACGTACTATTGAATTTTGCAGATATTGGTTAGAAGCAGGCGAAACTTGGATTTTTTTTTATGCCGTCATATAGTTATGTAAGCACTTTTGTACGTATGTATGTATGTGTGTCATTTATTTAAGTAGAGTGGCGTTAAGTCAAACTAGTAAAGACGCGCTGCATAGTTTAGTCCTCATCGGAGAGATTAGCGTTGGTTAGCAGTGTTGTATTATCATCCGCACCGGCCTCTTCGACATCCTAAAATCGAAAGAAAAACAGAAAATTAATAATAAAAAAAAAAATAAATAAAAAATGAATTCGCAAGCAAGAAAAAGTAAAATTCTTATTTTCTTTACTGGTGGCGAGCTTTACTCTACTTACATTGCGATTCCGCTTGCGCACCGAGGAGACGATGGCGCGTTTGTTGCGTGCCACCAAGCAGACCGCAATTATTAGAATCATGCCAGTTAAGGCGAAACCCAGTAATGCAGGCAATAAAACGCTGTCCTCCTTGTACCCCTTTAAAGTAGAGCAGCGGGTGGAAAGATGTTGAAAAAAAAAATTATTAATTAATGATAAGAATTGCAAATTATGATTTAACAGTTAGGTTAACATACGTATGTATGTATGTATACTTTCCAGGGTTATGTTAGTTATAATTAATAATTCACCTTAATAACAGCTAACTAAGGTCATACACTAGGCGAGAAATGAAAGTGTACACCTTATTCTAATATAATATTCACAATTATTTGCATGACAAATTTTTTGCATTAATTATTTAGCAAAATATAGTTCAATCTTAATATAAACCATATGAATTAAAGTTTCACACTTTATATAAAGTTCACAAAAAATTCAAAAAATTTTCATAATGATTTTCAACTTTTTATTCAGAACTTTGTAAAATTGAAAATTTTGTTGCTTTAATTACACTGGTTTACAGCAAAAATGTTCGGAGAATGCCACTATCCAATACCTATATAGAATTGCTCGCTGATTCCGAAAATCGAGTTAATATTTTATGCTATAGATAAGTTATTAACTACGGCAAGTGAAAGCTACCAAAATTCTACATCGACCGTATATACTACATTAGAGTGGTTAAAAAAATTTTTTTTTTTTTGGAAATTCATAAACGCTACCTCAAATTATTGTTATTTGTGATAAAAAACGTGTTTTTTTTATTTTGAAAACAAATTTTTGTTAGAGGTCGCGCTGGTAGGTTTTTTATAAAAGCGCTGATGTTCTCAATTTTTTATTTCCTTGACATATTAAAATGCAGCTAAAAATGTGATTTTATATATATATTTACCCTGGTATTATTGGGGAACATTCCCTTAATTACATACCTGTCTTGGGTAGTTAGAATGGGCCTAGTGCCCGAAGATATGCTCTCGAAAAGATAAAGAAAAGAAAAAGGAAATAAAGTAAAATTAAAACGTTGATACTGAACGATTTACGCATTGTCATGGGTTGAAACTTGTTACCAGGGGGTTTCTGGGGTTGCTAATTAGGAATCTGAAGTCAGTTTTTCAAAATTCAAACTGGCGGATGCAAAATGGCGATCCATTTAAAAAAAAATGATTGGATTTATTCGAGACCCGGCACTCTAGATTTTTTTTAATTCAAAATGGCGGATCAAATATGGCGATTAAATTAAAAAAAAGTACTAAAATTAAAATGTTGATACTGAACGTTTTAAACATTGTGAAGGGTAAAAACTCGTTTCCAGTGGGGTTCTGAGCTTTCTGATTATGAATCTGTTGTCAGATTTTCAAAAATTTGATTTGACGTATCGCCTTTTCAGATTTTTAAATTGGTTCGTAAGATATAGTGATTAAGTGGAAATACTTTTTGTTTTCAGCTGAACAACGGTAAATTGCAAATATCTTGAAAACGCATCGATAGAAAAAAAAATTAACTCGATTTTCGGAATCATCAAGCAATTCTCCATAGAAATTGGATAGTGGCGTCTGGAGAACAAAAACCAAACTAAAATTTGTGATCCAGTGTAATCAATACCCGCACTTGTTAATTCTTTTCACGAAGATTTTATGTTACGCGAAATCTGACTCAGCTTCGAGATACATATACAGTGGGAAGAAAAACTGAGTATATGGTGATTTTTATTAAATATTTGTGTTTAACCACACACCACAGGTCTTTTCAGTTAAAATTTCTTTTTATGTTTTTTTTTGTAAAAATATGGTTCGTGCTTTAACCAAAATTTTGAGCTGTTTAATCTGAACTTTTAGGGCATGCTGTTTTATAGTCTGTTAAATTTTCCCGTTAAAAAGTCCCGTTGATTTATTTTTTTTTTGCAAACGGCTCTTTGTACTTTTTTGATGAACATTTCTCTAAGCTCTGTATAAAGTTTGAAATTTTGATTTATATTGTCTTGGTTAAAGCATGAACCATATTTTATAAAAAAAAATAACAAAAATAAAATGTCTTGTCGTGCTTACGGTCCACTGAAAGTAGGTCGACGGATCAATGTAAGGCCAATGCGATTGTATCCAGTCAGCGTCTTTAGTCTCCACAACATCTGCGGCATTCACTTTTAGCGGCTCATTAGCGCCATTCGCATCTGCGCCACTGTTATCGGACTGCCTTGGCGGTATAGCTTCCGAATTGGGGCGCGCCAGCACCGGCGGTATGATGGGCTTCTTAGCCGTAGACTTGAGCAGCGGCAATTGCATGATGCGTGTCGTAATGGTGGGTAAGACTACAGCGCTGGCGTTTTGATTTGAAATCGTGTTGACATTAAATGTAGCTGCAGCTGGTGCAGAGGCTGCAGCGGGTGCATGTGGCGAATAAATGCTGGTGGTCGAAAAGGACGTTGTTGGACGTATTGCGGGTGCGGGGCCATTTTGTAACGGACGACTTGGTACGCCATTGTTGCCCACATTATTGTTGCCGTTAAATTGGTTACCATTTTGAGCAGGCTGTATGTGCATCGTGGTGGTCACCACGATGGTGGGCGGAACACCAGGCAATGACTGCATGCTGCCTGAATCGAAACGCACTTCCGAAACAAAATTATTCGCTTCCAGTGGTGGCTCTGCCTTATTTGGCAGGCCAAGCCCATCTCCAGCACCGATATTTGGGGCCGGCATTGTGGTTGTGATCGCAATCGCGTCATCCTTTCCCACTGTGACAATATCCTTTTGTGGTTCTGTTCTTCCATCCATTCTTTTATCAGCAGCAGCTGCATTGGTTTCCTCTGTTGGCGGCTGCTCCTCCTTATCCGACACATATCCAACTGGCCTGTCCTTGGTATCATTTAGTTTCGGCTCCGCTTGCGTTTTATTGACGCGCAAAATGATTTTCTCTACGCCGTCGCTATTGATAATTTCCACTTTCTGACCAATGCTCGCGGCGCTGTTGTGTTGCGGTAGGTGGTGGCCGCCACCATTTTCGCCCGTCCTACGCAAAGCTTCTCTCGGTCCGCCAACGTTCCTGTGTAGTCCATTTATGCCGCCGCCATGTGATAGTGCTGCCTTCGTCTTCAGAAACCACTCAGTGGGATTGGGCAAGCATTCGGCCGACACTAGGAACGGCACCAATATAGCACCTATAATAACGGTGCAGATGAAAATCAAGCCCAAGTAAGCGAAGAATGAGCGTCGTCTGGGGCGCCGCGCCTTGCCTTTGCGGCCAGCAGCGCCGCTGCAATTGTTGCCTGCGCTCGATAGCTTGCCCTCAATGCGAAAGTCATCGTTCTGTGGCAGTATCGTATACTGTAGGCTGTTTTCGCCATGCCGCACCGTCTTGTACATTTTTGCGACGCGAATGGTGGCGTCGAGGGGTGGTTTGCAGGGGCTCACCAAACGTACGCTAAACTATCGGTCGTCTAAATAGTTTGCAACTGCCTTTGCATTGCGAGGGTGCGCGACGGCTTAGCAATATTATATTCTCAACACACACTCACACACAAATGCAACGCGGATATGGATGTGTTGGAACTGGGAGTCGCGGTGATGGTGGCGGTGGTGCTCGCAAATCGCTCTATTCGTTATTGATTAAACAATATACTTGTTTCACATCAGGAAACTAAGTGGAAAAGGAGCACAACAACAAGCGGCTGGCTTGCACAACAAGCTGTAGTTAATTGCCAACACGGAGGGAGAGTAGGCTGCCGTTGTGGTTAGACGCCAGTCGTCGCGTGGGGTAGGTTGGAGCACTGAAACACTTAATTGTCTTGGTTTCCTACTTTTTCTTTAGCTCCGCAGCTTGAAGGGGGAGGAGAACGGCGGGATTGTATGGTTTTCTGTTCCTTGCACAGAATGTGGCAATTTTCAGCAGATTTTGTACACTTTTTCCCCCCAACACTTTCTATTCAAACACAAATTGTTTTCAAAATGGAGTCAAAGTCGAAGGACGTTTCCTTTTTTTGATTGAATTTTTCACTTCGGCTGTTTTTGCATTGCTGGCTCTGCACACAAATACAATGATTCTTAATTGCAGAGACACAAAGCACAAAGACACTGGTCGAGTTATATATATATATTTTTTTTATATTTTCTGCCAAGATTTATTCTCAAATTAACTCTTCTTGTTGTAGATATGCTGTAACACCAACACTTTTTCGCAAAACAGCAATTCGTGTCAAATATGCTAATTTTGTGTGTACTCGTCAATAAGCATTCACTGTCAGCCACTTAAGTTGAGTATTTGACAAATACTCCAAGTTTGACTTTTCCACTTGGCAGCGAAAAATCAATAAAAAGGACCTGTGGACGTATTCCTTGCTCACTTGAAGTGAAGCGAGAGCAACTTATTGCGAGTGCGAGCGGTTTCCGCTTGGCGTTGAGGCAGCTGTATTGTCATCACCGCTTTTGTGGTTTAACCGGCCAATTTTGGCATTTCAGATACTACGTTCGTACGAGTATGTAATTGCAACTGGCAATGCTGATATTGCTGAGGCATATCCTTGCTTGCGATTTAACGGTGTAACAGCAGTAAGGAGAGTACTTGGGGTGCTAGCTAGCGCGGAACGGAACGATATGAAACAAACTGGGTGGTAACTACGATGATGTATAATATTTTAATAGTAAAATTAAACCTCCAATTGTCACAAGTAAAAAACTGTAATAATGTATTATATGTATGTACATTAGTGACTGTTAGTCAATGGAAAAATGGAGAAAAGCGTAATAAAATAGGTCAAAATAAGTTTTCATGGTTTCTGAGTACGAGTAAATAAGATAGAAATCAGAATTATTTAATAGAATGTTTTTTTTTTTTAAATTGAATCAATCGAAGCAGTCAAGTATCATTAAAATTTCAATTAAGTTTGAGAAATTAAAAAACACAAAACGTAACTTTCGATTCTCTCTCTCGTCTGGAATGAACAGGCCCCCAAAGCAGTGAGCTCCTTTAATTTTTCCAATTTTGCTCATTTGCTAAATAGTCGCTAAGCTAAAATTTATGGATTTGAATCGTGATACTGGTCATTGCAGATAAACACCGTTTAAAGAAATGAACTTGTAGGTTTTTGGTTTTTAATGTTTGCAACATTGAGTTTACTTCAAAGTTTTATTTCATGTTTACTCTACATTCCAGCACGCTTAATACCCTCTTCTATAATGTACGATATCGTTCGAGCGCCGTTCGTTTGTATGCGCTCATAAACAAATATCTATAAATGATGGGCTCTCTAAGTAAACGCTCTAGAGCGCCGAATTGGCCCCCCTATTGGAATAGAGACAACCTGCTCGAGATTGTCCGCTCAGCTGGCACTATTGACGATTTGGAAAAATCATGATTAACTTTGCAAGTGCCTGGCAGTCGAAAGACATTTCAGTTTTAGTGGAGCCACCGGCTGGTCTGGTTCATTCTCTTTTCGACTGTGCTTGCGAGAAAGCGATTTTGATTATATTTTTTCTTAACTATTTCGCTGTGACGTGGACAATTGTTGGCAAAATGTCTTTAGTTCGCTTAATTGGCGCTGAGGTGAGATAATTTTGTGAATTGTAACGGCAGGGGTGAGAGTGCAGTTGCATCCATGTAAATGAGCGTTTGCAATCAAGTATGTAAATAGTAGTAGTAGTGATATCGGAGCAGTTCTCAATTTGTATTTGCTTTTGTTTTGCTCAAAAGCCGCGTGCGACAAAAGAATTTTTATTATTATTTTGTTACGCAACTTAGTAGAAGGCAGATCCGTGGTTCGTGGTATGGAGAAATTTTTGATATGGTTTTTTCTGTTATTTCTTGTTTTTAAAGCACGCGTGCCCGCTAGTACTCAAACAAGAACAAAACTGCATACATTAATAGATGGAGCCATACACGAATTCGCATAAGTATGTATCTATATACATACATACACATGTATATAATTAAATTGTTGTTTATCGGCAACAATGCCGGAACACAAGTACATATTTACAAGTGTATTTGTAAACAACATACACTTAAGGACAAAAAAATAGGTATGCGAAATTTTGACCAGTTTTAGCTATTTTTCTTTTATTTATTTAATTTTATTAAGTAATTAAAAGTCTAGCTTATATAATGAACTTTTGTATAAAAAATTTAAAAAAAAACTTTAAATCAAAAAAATTACGAGTTTTAATTAATTAAAAGTCTAGCTCGTTATATAGCAAAACTTTGCACAAAAAATTAAAAAACTTTTTAATTAAAAATAAAATATTACGAGCATACTTCATGTGGAAGAAAATGCATAGAACCGCCAGCAAAAGAAAAAAGTATAAAAAATCAATGCGAACTCTCAGCCTCTTTAAACATGCATTTTATTTTACTAAAATTTAATGTGCTAGTTTTGCACATTTTTTGTCTAAAAATTCGTATTAAAAGGTTTAAAATTTTAGTGAAAGTTTGTTAAATTGTATGATTTTTTTTTATTTTTTAATTGTTTGTTTAAAATTTAATTTTGTATAAAACTGCACAAGAAAATGTTTCTAAAAATTCTTGTTAAAAAGTTTGAAATTTTGGTAATAATTTAAAAGTTTGATGAAGTGTTAATGGCCTTATTCATTAAAAATAAAGAAGGTTTATAGAGCTTTATAAATTGACGTTTTCATACATTTTTCAATTTATAAACCTTTTATAAAGCTACTTTATTTTTTATGAATAGGCCCATTATATTTTTGAATTATTTATTTAAAATTCAATGGAGTATAAAATTGCATACACAATTTTTTCTGAAAATTCTGATTAAAGAGTTTGAACTTTTCGTTGAAATTTGTAATGTTTTGTGAGTTTTATATGTATTTTTTACAAAGTTTGAAATATAGATTTATAAACTTTTTAAACTTTTATAAAAAATTAACAAAACTAAATTAAAAAAAACACCAAAACTGGTCAAAATTCCGCACATCTATTTTTTTATCCATGAGTGTATGTATGTATGTATACATACATACATATATGCATTTTATGGTTTCGGCACACATTTACTAACATTCAAGTTTATATTTAAGTAGTACATAAATACATACACATCGTCGTTTAAAGTACAAAACCGCGTAACGTGGTGCTGCAAAACCTCGTAACTTACATTTGCTACCAAAAAATATATTTGCTCACCGGAAGCTCCAAGCACTTATCCATTCATACTAAAATATCGGTACTAAGATATAAGAAGAGATAATTAGGGTTAAAAGAGATAATCGTAATAAGGCAAGTTTTACTCTCTCCTATAAAACTTGGGAAACTTCACATACAAGGTTTTGCATTTTCTTGTTAAGCGGTTTTTTACTTTAAACGACGATATGTACATGCATACATATATATGATTCGCTAAATAAAATTTTAACGCTATCTCCACCTACACGTGTAAGTCTAATATTTTGTTGTTAGTAAAAATAAAATTCAACTGCCTAGGAAAAAAGCAACAGGACTTTTTAAAACAGAATCTTTTTCAATTCGAAATCAAAATTGTTTGAATCATTGTTAGAAATGTAGTTCAAATTTAACACTGAATTTTGCTATTATTGGGATTACTGGGTTTAATTTCCATCTGACGAAAAATATTCAAATAATAAATGATAGGTATGAAGTCATGACCAAAAATTACAATAAAACTATTAACATTATTATTTATAAAGGTAGCTTTTATTTAGAAAAGAGCAAAGCAAAATAAGCTCAAATTTTTTTTAGATCAAAAGTAAAACAATTAAAAATCAGTGAAAAATTCGCGATTGGTGTTATTTTAACTTGTTTGTTAAGACTTTATTGCCTTTTATGTGACTTTTTTCGGAATTAAGAAGTGCTCTTGCCGAAGTAGCCGGCAGCTTAGATGTGCCTACTGCTACTCGGGAGGTCCATGGTTCAATTCCTATCCCCAGCAACATCAAAAAAAGGTAAACCTCCGAGAGTACTTCTTCGGTGCTGGAGTAAAAGTGTATATCTCTCAATTTAGGGGTCTCCCTTAAACTGGAAAAAGCCTTGAAAACTTCTAAAAACCCAAAAATTTTATTTAGAGGTCGAGATTTGTGTGAAATGAAAAAAACTGGTTTGTTTGGTAAAAAATCCGGGTTATTCGATATTTATTCGGTGGAAACCGGTTTGGAAAAAACGAGTTAATTACCATAGTGGCAAATAAAATCACTTTGAAATGGAGGTGCTATAGATATGACCGATACTGTATATATTTGTATGTATATACATATGTACTTGTACATTTTATTAAGGAAAGAGTAAATACAATAAACATACATATGTATTTGCATATAAACGTACTTACATACATAAGAGAACTTTGATAAACTTTTGCAACAATGCCTGCACACTCATACGTACTATGATTGCAGTAAATAAATCTAATTAAGCGATGAGATTGTGCTTATTATTTTGTTAACTTAAAATACCTGCTAACACAAAATGTGAAAATTTTAGAAATTTCAACAAATTTCCCCTTCTCTACGAAGAAACAATTTCGTTGTATTACTTTTCTTTCGAAGAA